ATTTATAGCTTACAGTAGATGGTTAATGTCTTTTAAGTTAGAATTAATTGCTTTGACTACTGACAGGCTAGGTAATACCAGTACACGAGCCTTGTAGACAGAACTATAAATAGTCCTATTTATGTCTTCTTTATGTCACCCACCACTGACCTATAAATAGTCCTATTTATGTCTTCCTTATGTCACCCACCACTGACCTATAAATAGTCCTATTTATGTCTTCCTTATGTCACCCACCACTGACCTATAAATAGTCCTATTTATGTCTTCCTTATGTCACCCACCACTGACCTATAAATAGTCATATGTATGTCTCTTTATGTCACCCATCACTGACCTAATGGTACATGGAGAGATATATAATAGTTTTATGTATGTCCATCGTTGAACCATTGGTACTCATGTGTGAAATCATTTCCAGTGAAAGCCTTTCCAGCAAAGGCTGTTCCTTCTGTCATCTGACGTATGGTTATCACTGGCTTAAATGACTTGCACATGTAGATAACAGGTTTTATTTTTCCACAAGCTTGTGCTTTATGTAAAAAAGCTATATTGGTAATCTAAGCTATAATGGGTATATATGGTGCACATGTTGTGTATAATTGTCTATTAAATACTCTCAGAGGCAGGAAATGTTCATCAAGAATCTTGGGTTACTGTAGAGTATCATTAAATGTGAAAGCGTGCTGAGGTTAGCCTAGAGGCAGTCTTTATTAATTGTGTAAGTTGTGAGATAAGTATTTATAATCGTTCTCATTGTACCAGTCACATTAGGTATAGTGGTGACACACATTCTCTCGAGCCATTGTTAAACCAGCTATGGAACAACTGGTACAATCTTGATAAAAGATGTGTATGGCTGATTTCTTTCTTCTCTATTGTCTGTGTTTCTGGGTATGTGATTATTGAAGTGGCCACACCTCTGTGTATTGTACTTCTCTCCTAGATTCCGTAAAGATGTTGTTGTGTAGTTTTTAGAGGAAGCCAGGTGTATTGATTGACATTCAAGTCTATGTCTTTCATTCCTACAGGAAACACTTGTAGCAGGCCTAGGTTATAGAGTAAAGAGGATATGCTTTATGGAACAAAATGTATTGAGTTTAACTTGAAAAGTTGGGACGTAGCATTCTCTGTGATTGATTTTCTGCAGATATGGTAAGTACCAACAAGGCCTAAGTTGCTTGATATCTATACAGCTGTGTTTACACTTACGTCACCTCTACAAATATGACTCAATGTTTGCATTTGCATTCTGCCAAAAAGTTGATTGGTTTTACATGTTTTATTTCAGACCAATAAGTGTATGTTTGAACTATCTGAAGCTTTGTGTTTCAGTTCAGGACAGACCTAAATGTTGTTAGACTTTACCTTAAGGTGGAGTCTCGGCACTCTGTAATGTGTCTCCGACAAAGAAAAGTTCCAACTTGTGCAGCATCATTTTGATTTGGTGTTTCCTGCCAATTTACAACAGCAAAGAGCTTTTTATGAAAGACTTTTGTTTTCTTTTTTCCTTCCTTGCACTTGTTCACAAAAATATCTGCTGCAATGGGGATTTGAATTTGGAACCTCTTGGTTATATATATAATTATAGGGCGTGGAGCTTATCTGCTTCGCCATCGGACATGATATTTGATATATTATTATTTTTCTGCAACAAAACTGAATTATTTCTACATGTTGTAGCTTTCTTAACAGTATGCAATTTATAACTGTCTTTTTATGAATACAGACGAAATACCATAAACTTACAGGGAAATAACCATTAAAGACATGTATGCAATGGTAATTTTATGGAGCACTCTACTATAACCTAATTATATATAATCCCTTGTAATATTACTGTACCTAATAAGATAATCTACTGTTGGCCACTGACTCTTGATTACCTTACTGTATCTATATATATATCAGCAAGAGAATCGCCTGTTGATCACTGACTCGTCCCTGTATTCATTGCCAAATCTCTTAATAACACTCAACAATGTCGGGAAGAGAGGTGGGGATATAAAAAGTTATATTGTATAGTCATGTTGGCATGGCACTTGATACATCAACATATAACCGGGCCCATTGCTCTGTAGTGATAGTCAGTGTTACTTTATGTTATTAAATTGTCTTCAGGCCAGACATGTTTATGAGAATGTCAGTTGTTCGGTGTAAATTGAGATGACTCATTAAAACAATAATTTCCACTATTTTAGTTAACATAATGTAAATCTTGTAAAATTTCTTCAGGCTACTGATAGTGTTAAAAAACAACATATGGGTTTTATTTAATTATATTTGAACTTTTTCCCTGTTGGGCATTGCTGAAATGTTTGTACATCAGTTTTTGTAGCTTTTATGTTGAGCGTCTATAGGATATTTTAAATATATGATGATTGTTTATGGAACAAAAGCATTTATGTTACATTAGTACAAAGCAGTACAGTCTCTATAGGTAAATGTATAGTATTTCAGGTGAAAAATGAAATAAGATACAGATAAACAGCTGCTACCGACTACAGAGACAGTCGGTCTGCCAGATTTGTGTTTGGTGTGGGAGAAATACAATTGGCTGTCATTTCATTCTTGTTATCCGTACTGATTTACATATTATTGTTTCAACAGACTGCTTCTTATGAAACAATTTTGTTACATCTCCACTTCCATTACTCATGATTGATCCTCTGTTTTCAGTGATCTTCTATTTCCAGTTTCAGTCACACATGTCAGAGTGACTCGGCACTGTATACATTTTTATGTTTCCCCACAACATTCAAATTACTTTAGTAGTCAGTTGTCAGAATGCATATGGTCTTACTTTATTTGTTGTCCTTCTGACTCCCAGTGTACTATCAAACCTGTCAGAGTGACTCACTGTATTCAGTGACCTTGTCTCCCATTTAAGTGTCAAACCTGTCTGAGGGACCTACTGTATCCATTGACATGTCTCACACTACAGTCAAACCTGTTAGAGTGACTCACTGTATTCAGTGACCTTCAGAGTGAATTGCTGTATTTAGTGACCTTCAGAGTGAATTGCTGTATTTAGTGACCTTCAGAGTGAGTTGCTGTATTTAGTGACCTTCAGAGTGAGTTGCTGTATTCAGTGACCTTCAGAGTGACTAGCTGTATTCAGTGACCTTCAGAGTGACCTGCTGTATTCAGTGACCTTCAGAGTGACCCACTGTATTTAGTGACCTTCAGAGTGATCGCTGTATTGAGTGATCTTCAGAGTGATTGCTGTATTGAGTGATCTTCAGAGTGACTTGCTGTATTCAGTGACCTTCAGAGTGATCGCTGTATTCAGTGACCTTCAGAGTGACCCATTGTATTTAGTGACTTTGTCTCCCACTTAACTGTCAAACCAGTCTGATGGACCTACTATTGTATTCAATGACATGACTCACACTACAGTCAAACCTGTTGGAGTGAGTCGCTGTATTGAGTGACCTTAAGAGTGAGTTGCTGTATTCAATGACCTTGTCTCCCACGTGACTGTCAAACCTCCCTGTGTAACCTATATATAGCTAGAGTATACAATATGATTGAGAATGACAAGTCTCACACTACAATCAAACCTATCAATATCTGAGCCACCCACTGTATTCAGATACCTTCTGTCTCACTCTACAATCAAAATATGTTCAAGCGACCCACAGCAATAAGTCATCTTTTGTCTTATGCAACCTTTATTAATTATTGAATATGGCTCGAGACATTTTTTTGATAAGTTTGTATTAGAATCGATTGATTTTTCAGAAATTACCTGAAAAATTTGGTCTCCAGGAAATGTTGATCCAAGCTAAACAAACTCCAAAGTGCTGTCGATTTTGCTTTATTGTGCATTGGTTGCTCCTGTCTCGGTTAAGTTCTTTTTGGCTGTCTGCATTGATTTCCATCTCTGCCTGACCGGGTCATGTCCTAGCCATTTCACCGCAATATATTTGTGGACAGGAATGTAGCACTGTGTTTGGTGCAGTGATGGTAGTTGATGGAGGTGTTTGTGTCCGCAGACTGGATGATGGATATCTTTGTTTACTCTGACTGAGACACAAGTGTTCCCCTTATCAAGAGATCAAGCTGATACCAACACCGATACTGTCATGATAAATTAGTAGTTTTTCCATTTATATACTGCTTTTGAAGTTACCTTGGTGGTAAAATGAATTTTATATTTGCATTGCTGTGGTGGAAGGTTTGGCTTTGATACATTGACATTTTCAATGCTGTTTTATACATTCTGGAGAAAGCTGGACTCTATACTGATTGTCGTTTACTCTTCTTGGAAACTGAGGAAGTGACCTTGATCAGGAAAATTCTATTCAAAGCTGATTATTTTGCATCACATATTTATCAGTGTTACTGTTGGAAAGTCTAGCCTGTCTTTCACCAATCATCAATGTATCGAGTCTGATGGAGCCTATGTATGCTGTACTACTATTTGTATGTGTTCAGTGACACTGTATTCCAGATTGTTTACGGTAAATGTGCTAAAATTGTACCAGGTAATTTTTTAACAAGTTAAAGATTAGTAAATTTATGTAAGAATTTAAAATACATTGCTGATAATAAAATTATAGAAACTGTCAGACATATGCATGTTAACCATATATATAATGAGGTGAGCCCCAATGTGTGTGGTTCAACGAGAATCATTCATCATTAATACACCATTACAAGCTCTACCAATCATGTGTACAGTTGTATGAGTCTGACGGTACTTTTTTGCAGCATTGTGGTGAAAGTTTGAGGTATATAATTTTAGACATCCTATAGTACTTAACCAAAACAAGAGCTCTAGACCAAGGTCAAGCCTTTATTTCCTTTTTATGAATCAACTGAAGTCTGCACGTCATGCCCTTATTTCCTCCCTGTCTATGTAATGTAGTGTATCTTGTAATAGGTAAAAAGACATAGTTGTCAAGTATACAAGTTCAGTGTTACCTCTCAGATGCTTAATGTACAGATACACGGATACATCCTGGTCGTGCTCATCAAGGAAGTTAAGTGAATAAATGTGCTGGTTTTCTACACGTTAATGTTCCTGCTGGACATGTTATACAAAGGAGTTGAGCATTTGTCACTCACTTTCTTTATGTAGTGTAAGCTAAAAAAGTTGTATGCATGTAATTAATTAAATAGGAGTGTATAGTTTACAGTCAGTGAGATAGATCTGTGCTGTAGATGTGACTAATATATAGATATCAGTCCTTAAAACATGTGGATATTATAATTGTGTAAGTATTGGGTGTACAGTGTAAATTACACGCTAAGGTCTCTCGTAGATATGTACTGTACTCGCAGTGTCCGATTCTTACAGTCCACAGCACTTTGTAAAGAGGAATGAAGTATATGTGTTAAAACGTTCTACTCCAGGCTGCCTCCAATGTTACGAGTGTCTAATATTAACAGTTTTCAAAAGGATTACTGTAGTGACACACTGTAAGGAAAGTAGGTAGGAAAGTACTGCCTGTGGGTCTCTGGGAAACACCTATATGAGGAAACATTTTATTGTTGTTAAGTTTGACGTAGATAAAATCTTGAGAATCTTCACTGACAAGTGCTTCCTAACAGTATGAGTTAGGAGTAGTAAGCCTGAGTAATATAAGTCATGTTTATTTTTGATTCACTGGATTCTCTTGGTAAATCTTGTTGATTTCCAGTAACGTTTGTAAAATCATACAACTGTAGCTAGTCGATACTGCTTAACACAGGATTTTATTGTGGCCTGTTTCAGATACTGAACTGTGATATTGTTGTAAACTAACTGTCGGGGACATGCCAGGAAAGCAAAAGTCCTTCTGTTGGTGTTTCGGAGGACGGCCTCCGGAAATCACGTATGGAATAGAAAATGGTGCCCCCCTCAAGGCCATGGCGGTGGATGTACCCATGCCGACGGACGAGGAGGAACTGAATGCCAAATTTGATGAAATTGTTGTAAGTACATGTTTATGTATTCTGTCACTTTTAGTATATTCCTCTTGAGTGAAGGTGTTTAAATGTCAATGTCATTTTCAGGATTAGTCTTCTGTGATAAGGATAATTGTGGATAAATTAACATATTTTCTATCAGTGTATATTTCATAGTTTACAAAAAAAAAATGTAAATAGCAATTTGTTTGTTCTCCTATTTTATTGATTCAGAAATTATGTTTTTTACTACAATGTTATTTGTAACAACAAGATGTGTTTTATAGAGATTGAAAGAATTATCTAACTTGAACAATGGTCAGGTTAAAGATTCAAACAGAGTAAGAGCAGTTAGTTCTTATTGTTAGGTAGATGTTTATTTTCTTTAAAATACAATTCTGTATCTATTAACTCATATTGACAAACAATATTTTCTAAAAGCAAAATATTCAAACAAAATGGATAATTCTAAACTAATGTCATTCTCTCCTAATTCATGTTCATGTTCCTAGTTCATGGTGTGTGAGATTTTTAGACATGTGTATTTGCAAGTAAATAGTATATCTAGGTAGTTTTGTGTATCATTGCTGGTCAATGTTGATGTTTTAGAAGAATTACAGGCCAACAGGTGCTCTGTGTAAGCAAGATAACTAGTACCACAGCCTGATACCTAGACATTGAGTTTTTCCATCCCTAATTGCTTAATATGCATTGATGAGATACAGTACCGATACAGTGACCTCTAATTAATCTAGCATGTCTGGTTTCATACATTTCATGTCTGCAAGTTTTAAGGTTAATTAAATTCCAGGTCTTGATGAAGAGTAGATGAAGCAGTCAGATTGATGTGAGCTGAACAGGTGTCAGTTTAGATTACTCTAAAACAAAAAATATCTCCCAGGAGGGCAGTACACTTGGGGAGATTTAAACCACAAAATGTTCGTAAATGTCATTGACATTCGCTGATAAAAACTCACTTTTGTGATTATTTGTTGTTGGTGGTTACCGAATACATTTGTCTGCCTTAACTCTGGGGGGATCAGAAAAAGAAAATGGCTACCAGGCAATCTTTGAGTTTGTATTGATATGATAATAATAACACTAATATACAACATTTAATATAGCGCCCTATCTAGCTAGAATAAGCCACTCTTAAGCGCAGTACATAGATATACAATCTATACAATCAACACAATTAGCATATATACAATAATCAATACAATTTTGAGGAATTCGCAGGAGCTGCCTTGTCAGGTGCTAACTACAAGTCCTATGCCACCTGGCTAATATCCCCCTACATGTATATATGTATTCCTGTGTGTGTGCTGGAGATGTATTGTGTTCTGTTTGTAGTGGGACTGTGCTTCAAATGGTATCATTTATAGTGCCACCTCACTTCACACAGATACAGCAACATCCACCCCCGACCATTTTATACTCAACCTGGGTTGTTGGAGTTGTGTGGGCATGAGAAAAATAATTTCTCTGAATATTCCATGAGTACTAAGACTTCGGGGATCAAAACCCCCGAGTCACCTGCCTGGAAGGCCGGAGTGATAACCACTTGACTAATCCACCCATAATTTATTGTATTTTAAGACCTGGTTTACTCGTGCAATTCCCTTTGTCCTTAGTTGACAAAGAGAATCATTTAGTTAAATTTGAGATAGACCTGAAAAACCAAATAGCCAGGTAGCCATCTTTAATTTTGCATGCAAAGTTTGTTACTCCTATTTCACAGACCAAGTACAGAATAGAGAAAGAAGGAGAATGACTGTGGGCACGAAGATCCCACTGGGATCTGTTATCACTGTGTATTGATACAGTCAACTTTTTACAACTGATGGCTAAGTTTTGAGTCCTGGGGATATTTCTGTTATGTCCTAAGTGATATGGACAGGTCTTTGACTAGCTTTTATCAAGTCACATTAACTTAATTGATGATGCATGAAGTAGAAATATTTCGATTATGTCCTCAGAAATGTGGTCAGTATTTTCATGATTTTCCTGTGATGATGAATATTTTGAATACCTGGATAAACATACTTTGGTTTCAATATCAGGTTAAACAGAAAGTAAATTTTCCCCTTATTTTGCTTCAATGTGATAAGTCCTGATATAAGCAGGTCTAGATCTTCAGATAGATCTTTAGAGATCACTTAGTGATCAAGTTATACAATGATAACAGCGCCTAAGGAATGTCAGACAAAGGTTTTGTGCTGTACCACTGACAGGAACATTTAGGTGTTATCAAAGGCTGTGTATACTACAGACTTGTTCCCTCACAGCCTCAGTGTTATTCATCACTTCTAAAAGATTGAGGTGATCAAAATTCTAGGACATTTACCATACTAGTTTATTGAAGTTGCTATATATAAAAGAATATTGACCATTAAGTGTTGTAAAGTCGATCCCTGTGGGAGGGACATTTCTCATAACTTAGCCACCTCCATCACCGGAATAGTTTATGGTTAGAGCTGCACATCAGTGGGATGTGTGTATAAATGTCACTGCCAGGGGCCGAAAGAGCAATAACCCATGGCCTGGGGAGATATGGCTGTTGACTCACGCCTGCCTCGTGTGTTGGCATTAGAGGATGTTATATCCAACAAAAAATCACTTGAAAATTATACAAACGTGGATCTGTCAAATATACAGTACCGCTGTTTATAACCAATCAGATACTTGTCTGACCTGGCAGCAACCTCTTGTATGATATACATGTCATGATCTGATGAGGGGTGTTAGAAATACCACACATAAGTACACTTGACTATCAGCAGAAATCACTCCTCTAAAGACTTAAAAAAAAGCAGCTGAACTGTTGATTGATAGTAACTGATCATTAGAGGAGGATTGTTTGTGGAACCTGTACAAAGATACTAGTCATTACAATGAATTTGGTTTTTGGCAAAAACCTCCAGCATAATGCGTCTTCAAGCTCAAAGCAGCAAGGTTGTTAGTAATTAGCCAATCCTTAACATAAGCTTCCAAAAAGATGAGTTTTACAGCATCTCAAAATACCTGTATACATCATGTACCTTAAACAACAGTTCTAGATTGTACCTGTATACCTGTACACCTTGAACATCAATTCTAGATTGTCCCTTTATACCTTGAACAACAATTATAGATTGTGCCTTTATACCTTGAACAACAATAATAGATTGTACCTGTATACATGTATACCTTGAACATCAATTCTAGATTGTACCTGTATACCTGTACACCTTGAACATCAATTCTAGATTGTACCTGTACACCTTGAACATCAATTCTAGATTGTACCTGTACACCTTGAACATCAATTCTAGATTGTCCCTTTATACCTTGAACAACAATTATAGATTGTACCTGTATACCTTGGACAACAATTATAGATTGTACCTGTATACCTTGAACAACAATTAAAGATTGTACCTGTATACCTTGAACAACAATTATAGGTTGTACCTGTATACCTTGAACAACAATTATAGATTGTACCTGTATACCTTGAACAACAATTAAAGATTGTACCTGTATACCTTGAACAACAATTATAGATTGTACCTGTATACCTTGAACAACAATTAAAGATTGTACCTGTATACCTTGAACAACAATTATAGATTGTACCTGTATACCTTGAACAACAATTATAGATTGTACCTGTATACCTTGGACAACAATTATAGATTGTACCTGTATACCTTGAACAACAATTATAGGTTGTACCTGTATACCTTGAACAACAATTATAGATTGTGCCTTTATACCTTGAACAACAATAATAGATTGTACCTTTATACCTGTATACCTTGAACATCAATTCTAGATTGTACCTTTATGCCTTGAACAACAATAATAGATTGTACCTGTATACATGTATACCTTGAACATCAATTCTAGATTGTACCTTTATGCCTTGAACAACAATAATAGATTGTACCTGTATACATGTATACCTTGAACATCAATTCTAGATTGTACCTGTATACCTGTACACCTTAAACATCAATTCTAGATTGTACCTTTATACCATCAACAACAATAATAGATAGTACCTGTATACCTGTATACCTTGAACATTAATTCTAGATTGTACCTTTATACCTTGAACAACAATAATAGATAGTACCTGTATACCTGTATACCTTGAACATTAATTCTAGATTGTACCTTTATACCTTGAACAACAATAATAGATAGTACCTGTATACCTGTATACCTTGAACATTAATTCTAGATTGTACCTTTATACCTTGAACAACAAATATAGATTGTACCTGTACACCTTGAACATCAATTCTAGATTGTCCCTTTATACCTTGAACAACAATTATAGATTGTACCTGTATACCTTGGACAACAATTATAGATTGTACCTGTATACCTTGAACAACAATTATAGGTTGTACCTGTATACCTTGAACAACAATTATAGATTGTACCTGTATACCTTGGACAACAATTATAGATTGTACCTGTATACCTTGAACAACAATTAAAGATTGTACCTGTATACCTTGAACAACAATTATAGATTGTACCTGTATACCTTGAACAACAATTATAGATTGTGTATGAAGTTCCCACTTAGAGGATATTCAAATTCATTTACATTTCCAAAAGATATTCAAATTTGAAATGAAAAATAAAATAAATGATTTACACCTCAGATGATGATAAGACCATAAGATAGATAAGTCCCTAAGGAGTAAACAATTGTTTTGTGGCTGTAGAGCAAACTAAACTAGCTTTTACTGACATTCACACAGCTGAGTCCGACACGGTTACAGCTTCTCTGTGGAGATATTCATTTTCTTTACTGGATGAGGGATACACAATACTTGGCATGAACATTCGATATAAAATAGGGGCTGAAAGTAGACAGATCATAATTGAATGTAGACACTGACTAGACAATATTATATCACTTACTCTTTGTTCGGAATGAAAGAAACAAAAACAAAAACTCTTAGTGATATCTTTCAGCCTAAAATTAGGTACAATTGTAGTGTCTGAAAAGAAACGAGACAGAGTATGTTTTGTACATGTGGTCGGCTACAGGCACACCCTCCAAAGATGGAATCACACAATACATGTTTATGCTGCTATCATATTTGTTAGTTATCCTTGTCAGAATGGCCTAAGAACATGATCCATCGCACCACAGTCAGTCCCTGGAGCGTCGTGTATATACACATATGATGCGTTTGTTGAAAATTTACCCAAGTGATTTACAATTGAGAAATACTATATTTTTTTTGCCTTTTCCCTTAAAAGAAATTAAAAACATAGAAGCAAGTTGATAAAACTGATATTTTTGTATGATTTTGTAGATTTAAATTACGTAGATATACAAATTGTATGTGTTTAAAATGAAATCCACTCCTCCAGGAGACCCATCCTAAACAATGTACTATAAGTCTTTTGGCTTCCTCCACTTCATTATATGTATAGAGTCAACAACACATTACACACAGTCATAGTTACTTTGTGCTTATTAAATCATCATGTTTTACTGCCAATTTACAAATGCAATCAGAATTTTACTTTTTTTAACTAGTGTGCAATACTATAAAACAAAACTAAATTAAAATATAAAATGTACTTAATATGACGTCCAATGTATTGTGAGATTGAAAAACAGAGAGAGAAATCTAAAGGATGCCTGCACTGTTGTCTAGGACTTCATACAAATCTTTGTGTTACAGGCAGAGTTGGATGTGGACAAACCCCACAGGGATGCCTTGTACAGCTTACCCCCAGAGAAGAAATGGCAGCTCTACTGTAGCAGGGTGCAGGTGGGCACATCTTATCAGATAACTCAGGAGATAATCGAGGCAAATCAGGACCTCCGAATCTGATAACTCATGGAGAACTCCAGATTTGTGAGATCAGAAAACTGATGAAATTATGAAGTACCTGTATATTTCTGATTGTGCAATTAATTTGGCAAAGAATATTGATAGGAATTAGTGTTGATGCCTTCTGTGGGACGGTGTTTATACGATGTATCTATGGCACTAATTGCAGACTTCTGTTAGTATGTTATTATATCTGCATCAATGATTGGAGGGAATATTGTTATGACATTTTTCAGTCCACTTGGATTTGATTTTGATACAATAACTTCAAATTCCTCAAGTCAATCTAACTAACTCTTCATACAGATTAAGATTGCTCGTCAGGTCAAAATGTCAAGGATACTGTCTGGGTAATAGAATTTGTTTTTTTCCCATTAAATTGATCAGTTCCTGTAAATCTAACTCCAATTCAAAACGTCTTCCTTGTAAAAAAAACACTTTGTTTTGGATTGCTTTTCAGGTCAAAACGTGGAATGTTATGCTCACTGTTACTATGTATATAAATAGAAATAATGTCATACAGGATTTATTTGTATAAAGCTTCTTTTTGGGAAAGAAAGTCAAAGGTCAAAGTCAAGGTTACCTAGACCTGTTCCTTTCAACGAAAAATCAGAATCTGCACAAAAAAATACCATATTTAATTTCACATCTGACTGACTTGCCCAAAGCATTTGCATGGGATTCCTTTTCATGTCAAAAGATCAAAGGTCAAGGTCACTATCAATATAAAAAAAAACAGTCTGTTTTATTAAAAGTTGAGTTTCTTTAGCTGATGGAGTTAAGTTCAAACTTCATACAAAGCTTCCATGCATTTGGATTGTTTCTGCTTCCTAACTTGATTTCCCTTGGCCTAATCAGATTTGATTTTCACACAGAGCCACCCTTTCAACATGTAAGTGCTTGGGATGTCACTATTACACTACAGGTGTACTATTACAACATGTAAGTGCTTGGGATGTCACTATTACCCTACAAGTGTACTATTACAACATGTAAGGGCTTGGGATGTCACTATTACACTACGGGGGTACTATTACAACATGTAAGTGCTTGGGATTTCACTATTACACTACGGGTGTACTATTATAACATGTAAGTGCTTGAGATGTCACTATTACACTACAAGTGTACTTTTACAACATGTAAGTGCTTGGGATGTAACTATTACACTACGGGTGTACTATTATAACATGTAAGTGCTTGAGATGTCACTATTACACTACAGGTGTACTATTCCAACATCTAAGTGCTTGGGATGTCACTATTACACTACGGGGGTACTATTACAACATGTAAGTGCTTGAGATGTAACTATTACACTACAGGTGTACTATTCCAACATCTAAGTGCTTGGGATGTCACTATTACACTACGGGGGTACTATTACAACATGTAAGTGCTTGAGATGTCACTATTACACTACAGGTGTACTATTTCAGCAGGCATATGTATATACTGCAGGCAGTGGGACCTAGCAGTGACACATTGCTAGATAGCAGAAAACACCATTCAGGCTATATCAATATACCAAACTTTGCAAAACCGTAACAGAAATTAAATAACATTTTATTGATTGGAATTTTATACACTTCCTGTTGATCAGTTACCAGTGGTGTTATAATTACACTCACATTTACAAACAGAAATGACAGGACAGTTTCATTTACTCACCTATAAATTGTGTTATCTAAATGATCAACATACAATGATGATGATCAGATTACAACCATAGGATCTAGTCTTCTGATGCCTACTTTCATGTCATTCATCTCTCTGTGTTAGCATAACAGCAGTATGAATTTAATTGCTTTAAATTTTGATTATTCATTGATTTTGAAATGATACACTCAATTATATAAACAAATACATGTATATATGTAGATTGATAGACAAACAGTACTTCATTTTTAAATGAATCTGTGAATTTATGGTACCTGTTTCATATTACTTTTCAATATTAGTGACTGATCTAAAAAAAACTAATGTGTTTATTTCAGGACAGAGATAATACCTCAGCAGATAGCTACGTGGACAAAATCAAGGCATTATTTCAAGTATGTGTTCAACAGCTTTATATAAATCAGAGAAAATTGAGAAAGGCTATGAATCCATATGTGTTGATGACTAGGTTACCCTGTGGCACTTGTTTTATCTGTAGAAATGTTATTGTATCAGTTATAAATGACATCCCTGAATGATATTAGCTGTTGATAGGACGTTAAACCCTGTACAACCAACTAATTATTAATGGTCATCATCTTCATCTGTATAGATATGTGTGTATATATTTATTTAGGCTAGAAACTGTTGTTTCATAGAACTACCCAATATAGACTAGAAACTGGTGTTTCATGGAACTACCGAGTATAGACTAGTAACTGTTGTCTCATGGAACTACCCAGTATAGACTAAAAACTGTTGTTTCATGGAACTACCGAGTAAAGACTAGTAACTGTTGTCTCATAGAACTACCCAATATAGACTAGAAACTGTTGTCTCATGGAACTACCAAGTATAGACTAGTAACTGTTGTCTCATGGAACTACCCAGTAGAGACTAGAAACTGTTGTTTCATGGAACTACCCAGTATAGACTAGAAACTGTTGTTTCATGGAACTACCGAGTAAAGACTAGTAACTGTTGTCTCATAGAACTACCCAAAATAGACTAGAAACTGTTGTTTCATGTAACTACCCAGTATAGACTAGTAACTGTTGTTTCATGGAACTACCCAGTAAAGACTTAGAACTCTTGTCTCATGGAACTACCAAGTATAGACTAGAAACTGTTGTTTTATGGAACTACCGAGTATAGACTACTAACTGTTGTCTCATGGAACTACCCAGTAAAGTCGAGAAACTGTTGTTTCATGGAACTACCCAGTAAAGACTAGAAACTGTTGTTTCATGGAACTAAGTATAGACTAGAAACTGTTGTTTTATGGAACTACCGAGTATAGACTACTAACTGTTGTCTCATGGAATTACCCAGTATAGACTAGAAACTGATGTCTCATGGAACTACCCAGTATAGGCTAGAAATGTTGTCTCATGGAACTACCCAGTATAGCCTAGTAACTGTTGTCTCATGGAACTCTGTTGTTTCATAGAACTACCCAGTATAGACTAGAATCTGTTGTTTCATGGAACTACCCAGTATAGACTAAAAACTGTTGTTTCATGGAACTACCCAGTATAGACTAAAAACTGTTGTTTCATGGAACTACTGAGTATAGACTAGAACTGTTGTCTCATGGAACTACCCAGTATAGGCTAGAACTGTTGTCTCATGGAACTACCAATTATAGACTAGAAACTGTTGTTTCATGAAACTACCCCGTATAGACTAGAAACTGTTGTTTTTTGGAACTACCCAGTATAGACTAGTAACTGTTGTTTCATGGAACTACCGAGTATAGACTAGAAACTGTTGTCTCATGGAACTACCCAGAATAGACTAGTAACTGTTGTCTCATAGAACTAGCCAATATAGACTAGAAACTGTTGTCTCATAGAACTACCCAAAATAGACTAGAAACTGTTGTTTTATGGAACTAGCGAGTATAGACTACTAACTGTTGTCTCATGGAATTACCCAGTATAGACTAGAAACTGTTCTTTCATGGAACTACCGAGTATAGACTAGAAACTGTTGTCTCATGGAACTACCCAGAATAGACTAGTAACTGTTGTCTCATGGAACTCTGTTGTTTCATAGAACTACCCACTACCCAGTATAGACTAGTAACTGTTGTATCATAGAACTACCCAGTATAGACTAGAAACTGCTGTTTCATGGAACTACCCAGTATAGACTAAAAACTGTTGTTTCATGGAACTACCGAGTATAGACTAGAAACTGGTGTTTCATGGAACTACCAAGTATAGACTAGTAACTGTTGTTTCATGGAACTACCGAGTATATATAGACTAGTCTCATGGAACTACCCAGTATAGCCTAGTAACTGTTGTCTCATGGAACTACCCAGTATAGACTAGACACTGTTGTTTTATGGAACTACCGAGTATAGACTACTAACTGTTGTCTCATGGAATTACCCAGTATAGACTAGAAACTGGTGTTTCATGGAACTACTGAGTATAGACTAGAACTGTTGTCTCATGGAACTACCCAGTATAGACTAGAAACTGTTGTCTCATATATTGGAACTACCCAATATAGACTAGAAACTGGTGTTTCATGGAACTACCCAGTATAGACTAGAAACTGTTGTTTCATGGAACTACTGAGTATAGCCTAGAACTGTTGTTTCATGGAACTACTGAGTATAGACTAGAAACTGTTGTCTCATGGAACTACCCAGTATAGACTAGAACTGTTGGTTCATGGAACTACTGAGTATAGACTAGAAACTGTTGTCTCATGGAACTACCCAGTAAAGACTTAGAGCTGTTGTCTCATGGAACTACCCAGTATAGAATAGTAACTGTTGTCTCATGGAACTACCCAGTATAGGCTAGAAATGTTGTCTCATGGAACTACCCAGTATAGACTAGAACTGTTGTTTCATGGAACTACCGAGTAAAGACTAGAAACTGTTGCCTCATAGAACTACCCAATATAGACAAGAAACTGGTGTTTCATGGAACTACCGAGTATAGACTAGTAACTGTTGTCTCATGGAACTACGCAGTATAGACTAGAAACTGTTGTTTCATGGAATTACCCAGTATAGACTAGTAACTGTTGTCTCATAGAACTACCCAGTATAGACTAGAAACTGTTGTTTCATTAAACTACCCAGTATAGACTATAAACTGTTGTCTCATGGAACTACCCAGTATAGGCTAGACCTGTTGTCTCATGGAACTACCCAGTATAGACTAGAACTGTTGTTTCATGGAACTACCGAGTAAAGACTAGAATCTGTTGCCTCATAGAACTACCCAATATAGACAAGAAACTGGTGTTTCATGGAACTACCGAGTATAGACTAGTAACTGTTGTCTCATGGAACTACGCAATATAGACTAGAAACTGTTGTTTCATGGAACTACCCAGTAAAGACTAGAAATTGTTGTTTCATGGAACTATCAAATATAGAAGAGAAACAGGTGTTTCATGGAACTACCCAGTATAAACTAGTAACTGTTGTCTCATGGAACTACCCAGTATAGGCTAGACCTGTTGTCTCATGGAACTACCCAGTATAGACTTAGAACTGTTGTCTCATGGAACTACCCAGTATAGGCTAGACCTGTTGTCTCATGGAACTACCCAGTATAGACTAGAACTGTTGTTTCATGGAACTACTGAGTATAGACTAGAAACTGTTGTTTCATGGAACTACCAAGTATAGACTAGTAACTGTTGTTTCAAGGAACTACCCAGTATAGACTAGAAACTGTTGTTTCATGGAACTACCCAGTATAGACTAGAACTGTTGTTTCATAGAACTACCCAGTATAAACTAGAAACTGTTGTTTCATGGAACAACCCAGTATAGACTAGTATCTGTTATCTCATGGAACTACCCAGTTTAGACTAGTAACTGTTGTCTCATGGAACTACCGAGTATATATAGACTAGAAACTGTTGTTTCATAGAACTACCCAGTATAGACTAGAAACTGTTGTTTCATGGAACTACCGAGTATATATAGACTAGAAACTGTTGTTTCATGGAACTACCTAGTATAGACCAGAAACTATGTTTCGTTTTATATTGAATGTAGAGCCAAGTTTTAATGTGATGTATGTTTGACAGAACACGGTTAGCTTTGACGTTGAGGAGGAAGATGCACGACATAAGCAGATGGACAACCTGAAAACTGCCCTCCGCACACAGCCAATGAGGTGAGAGTATACTTCCGCAACTAGATATCACATTTTATTGATGATGCAGTACCCTTTGATTTATTAACAAGATTTTAACGGTATCAGATAACAAAGAGTCTTTTTACTGTATCAAGATACATGTATGTTTATTTATTTATATTTTGTTGATATATTAATTTATGTTTCGAATAAATAAGAAAACTATCTGGTGTCTAACCCTGATACAAAGAAATATATTGCAGTTTTGTGACACGGTTTATTGAGCTGGAAGGTCTGCAGAGTCTCCTGAACTTTCTGGAGAAGATGAACTACGAGTCACTACAGGGCAACACACATACAGCAGCCATTGGCTGTATCAAGGCTCTCATGAACAACTCGGTAGGTGTTGGACGGGCAGGGGTTAGAAATGTGTCTCGGATTGGAACTTCTGAGGTGTCATGTGTAGGATAAGTGACATATTGGTAATATTTGTTACTGGCAACTTATTAGTGATATAAATTATTTGTGCCAGCTATATACAGTTTCTCTACAAGACTAAAACTTGATTATCATTACAATCATAATGATTGTCTTTTTCGAGAAAAGTGTTATGATGAACAAGATTGTGCTGATATGTTAACAATATCCTTATGCTGTAAGATCGAAATAATTAGGACAAATTAACAGCATTTTTGAGTTCACTTTTCCCCCTGTGTTTTGTAGCAAGGACGAGCACATGTGCTGGCCCATCCCAACTGTATCAACATCATCGCCCAGAGTCTGGCCACGGAGAACATCCGTACCAAGGTAGCCGTGCTGGAGATCTGTGGAGCGGTCTGCCTTGTCCCTGGTGGCCATAAAAAGGTCCTTGAAGCATTGCTTCATTTCCAGAAATTCTCAGCAGAACGAACCAGGTTCCAGGTCAGTGTGGTGTGGGATTTTCTCAAAAGTGTTGATTATTATGTATTTTTTACTTAGATTCTTTGGTTTCATTTAAAATTTATTGTTCAATAATAATATCAACTGTTGATCAGATCTTATTTTCATCATTGAAACACTGGAAGAAGATTTGTGTTACATTATAAACACTGTCGTATCTCGTCAAATGTGTTCTGCAATACAGGAGCATATCGTAATCAAAGTAGGCAGTTTAGATAAAACCTTATGAAAGGAAAACGTTTTTGTATACCAATGAAATAAAAAACCTTATATATGGAAAGAGTTCCTGTACGGTACATTTCTAATGGTGTTGCATCCGATTCCCATGTTATTCTATGGTTTACCTACAGACCTTGATAAACGACCTTGACCGCAGTACCGGTGTTTACAAGGAGGAGGTGAGCCTGAAAACAGCCATCATGTCTTTCATCAATGCTGCACTGCGATATGGATCAGGACAGGTAGGTGACATCACATTAGATTGTGTTGTGGTATTGTTACCTGTGTGATGTTCTACGTACCATGTGACATCTTCTTACACACAAGAAGCAAAAAACATATATTTTTTTTATCACCATGTGACCTTTTGTTAGTCACACAAATCTAAATAAGTGTTAAAAATATAAGTCTTAGTAAGCATTAAAAATAGATATTACATACAAGTCTTAGTAAGCATTAAAAATAGATATAACCGTATGTAATCTCTTGTTACTTTATACACAAGTCTGAAATAAAACATAATCTTGAAAATACTCTTGATATTTCTAAAATAGCATGTACAAGCACTTGAATACATGGTGATTTCCAAATTGTGATGATTGAGAATGTATCATATCCAACTGTTTTTCCTGTGTTTGGAAAGATCTCATTTAAACATGATACACAATACGAAATCTGACGTAACCCAAGGTGATGTCACTCCACTTGTAACAGATGGTTGGTTATTAAACAGGAAGGTGTAGTCATTTGGTGGTGGTGTGAGGTCACTTTACGTTGTCTGCCTTCAGTGTTTGTCACACTCCAACTCAAGTGGCGGAGTTCCTACTCTCGTCTAACAATATGGGGTTTTAACACTTAGGGGCGACATTCAGCTAAAAAAAGTCATTCAGGAAGTTCTTTCAAGGTTTTTAGTATGACTTGTTAAGATGTAATTAAAATGAGGTAGACTTTGACGGATAGATATTTCATCAGGCCAAAGATACCCAAAAAAACAAACAGGAACTAGGAACTATAGATACAAATCTGCTTCGATCCTCACTCTAAACTTAATTTAGTGTTTGGCTAGCCAAGCAGTAAATGTTTTTTTTGTAAATGGCAGCTAAATCCTAAATGGATCTTTATAACAGCTCTTTATTTCATTTATAAACATACAACTCTAAATCTGATGTTGACAATCACTGCTTTCCCCGAAACGGACAATATGTACTCAACTATTAAAAACCTGCTTTAGAGCTTCCAAAACTGGTTACTAACAACCCAAAATCAAAGCCACACCTAGACTACCAGCACACCAGTGTGTCCCTGTTAAACGTGAAACACTATAGATATCACAGATAGTTGTGTTGGATGTTACATTGCCCCAGATGTTACACAGTAACATGTTAGTGTAGAATCGCCAGCTCGATCAGATAATGTTACTTGATACATGTTTGTTTCAGCTTATACACAGCAGCCATTTATTAGACAAATCAATAACAATACCATAAATAATGGTACACCTTAGAGGAGTTGTTAATTGTGAAATATTTTTAATAAGTTGTGAAGGTTTTTATACTCCCCTACTTAGGTTAAGAAGATACAATAAGTACTCACTTTGTCGGTAGTGCGTGCCTACATCCATGCATACGTCTACAGTATAACGGCTTGTATACAAGACTGCATCAGAACCTCCCTACAATTTTGCTTAATATTTACACCATGGAGTTCTACAGTACTTAATTATATTTTGGTGGTCATTGGTCAAGGTTAAATGGTCCGAGGTCACATTTGACCACTTTTGAAGTATAGAAAGCTTATTTACAAGATATCTCATGAATCCCTGAACCTATTTAGTTTGTATTTACACCATAGTATGGTTACATCGAGTTCTACACCTGATTAGACTTTAATTGTCTTTGGTCAAGGTAAAAGGAACAAAGGTTACACATGTGCTAAAGGAAGGGTGTCTATAAGGCCCTTTTTTGGGCTCCAGTATATTCGGGTATTTACCTCCTTATTTTGTTCAAAGATGTCCTATTGTATGACATGCGGAAAAACTAAGGTAAAACTTTGACCGAAAGTGGGTTTCTGGGGGTACCAAAAGGGGTATGGTAAATCACAAATACAGTTTGCTGTTTTTAAAAATGAGCTTAAAAACCAAAATAATATCATTTCTGTTTTTGAAAACATGTATAAATTAAACAAGCATATGTAACGGAATGAAAAATGACAGAAATTCAATCGTCACTTAAAGATTGATATATAAAAGAAGGATTACGTCAGGGGGGTCTTTTCGGTTATTTTCAATTGAAAAGTAATGTTTTCTCAATAATTTCCTTTCTAATTAATATTTTGACTTGACATTTACAACTTCACTCATTTAAGTAGACTTACATAAATTGCATATTGACTACATACTTTCCTTTTATTTTGTACTGAGTTATGGCTTCTGGACACATTTCAAACTTGGCTTGTGCATGACACCCTGTATACGCTATAAATAAAAAATATCAATTGTTAGTATTGTATATTATATATATCATATAATATTTGCTCAACACCTGTGGCTGAAGTGATTTGTTTTTTTACATATCAAAGTTAACTTACAAATCAAAAATGGCATTTGCCACCACAACTACTGTTAAATGATTGATTTAATATATGAAGTTTAATTTGCTGTTAATTTTATAGACACCCTTCCTTTGTTTTTATTATTTTACTGTTAGATGTCTCTAGTTTGAACACTGTCAGTCAGAAAACTAATACCTGATTCCTTTGATAAATCCCAGATGTATAAAATCATAAAAAATAACAATGTTATTCTGTTTTTGTTTTCAGGATCACCTTGAGTTCCGTTTACACCTGCGGTACGAGTTCCTTATGTTAGGGATCCAGCCAATCATAGACAAGTTGAGGAAACATGATAATGCTACACTGGACAGGTGAGAATAATAGAATCTTCTGTCCACTTGTTGTAGTATACAGAAGGTGATGGAAGTTCCTGATCCTAAAGATCAATCTTTTACAAACTTAAATCATTACTTTCATTGGAAATAAAATAAAAACATTTACATAATTTGAATTAAAAGTAAGAATTTCTTGTGATAAATATGTCTCTTCTTTGAAAGAAGGGAGTTTATTGTATTGTACCGGTTCTTCTCCTGGTTCTTCTAATAACTTTAAACTGTCAGATATCTTGATGAAACTTGCAATAAACCTGTATCACTCAAACAATGTGTACTGCACTGTCAATAGGTCACTGTGACCTTGACCCCAAGGTCTAATGTCAAATAAGTACATACTTTTCAGTAACATTTAGTCTGGGTTGTTAACTTTAAACTGTTAAAGATTTATCGATGAACCTTGCATCGCCCACAGGCGTATGCAGAGCTCTGTCATTAGGTCACTGTGACCTTGATTTCAAGGTCAAAGGTCAAATAAGGGAAAACTTTTCAGGAACATCTTGTCTACCCTGTAACTATTAAACCGTTAAAGTATATAAAGAAGTTTACAGTATATCTGCATCACTCACACAAACAATATGATGATAAGGGGAGACATGATATTCTTGTTCACAAAAAATAAATCTTTAGTTTAATTTACTCTACATCAACCATGTTCACATTTCCCCAGGCATTTAGACTTCTTTGAAATGATGAGAAGTGAAGATGAAAAACAAATGGCAAAGAAATTTGAAAATGTGAGTATTTAATAACCTTATTATTTTATATCTCCAGCTGGATATGATAAAGCTTTTTCAAAATGTTTATAAACAATTCATATCCTTCTGTACATTATAGCATCATATGAATGCACTGTTGGGCTGCCACATTTTCCAGTGACTAATTTGAAATTGAGATGTAATTATTAAAACAAAAATGACCTGGTTATTTTAGTATACTTACAAATAGAACAAATTGTAAGTATAACAGTAAACGTGAGTGTTGTTTTAGGTACATGTAGATACAAAGAGTGCCTATGGTATGTTTGATGTGCTGAGGAAGAAGTTGACCATGTCGACGGCCTACTCCCACTTCATGTCTTTACTACAACACCTCCTACTCTTCCCCTGTGAGTAATAGTTAAATGGCACACTCCCTAATTAACCGTCAGAAATAAGACTTTCCAAAAAGCCTTCGGCATACTGCATGTTTGATTATTAATATTTTTCTAGAACTTCTTATGATACCAATCTTGTTTAAACTTATATTTTTGCACTAATTGAAGTTTATCTTGTAACCTCTGTCTAAGCTTACCGTGACTTAAAGATAGGTTTGTCATTTTAAGTTTGAAAAATAAAGGTGCACTCAGTTTTCAAAGGCAAAAGTAAGAAAGACCCGCTTTGAGTCATAGTCCATGTAGGAAATGGAGGATTAGTGTTGTTTGTTTTTATCCGGTACTTTGCTTTACCCGCAAATATTCTGCTTTCCTTGTTATTTAATTGTAACATATAATCATGTATAAAGTGTGGAAGGACGTTCTGTACGTAAGAGTTACGTTTACAGTTGGTAACGATGCCAGTGTGGTGGCGGTATGGCAGATCGTCGATCGCATTGTCCAGCAGGTGGCTCTACAGCAGAAGAGCGGACAAGACCCAGACTGTACCGTAGTGGAAATGAACGTTAAAGGACTCATACGACAGTATGTATCAACTTGTGTTTTTGTGTTTTGTCAAAAATATTCTACATTCAGAAAGTAAATTGAATCTTAAAATAAAAGATACATTTCTAATTTCTGATCGTGACTGTCTATTGCATATTATCAGGAAATTAAAGAAAGTAGAACAAATTTCTTTTGAATTATGACAATATTAATTATTTACAAAGGAAGAAAAGGAGATTTTTCGAGACATGTGTCACATTTATTAGTAATTTGTTACTTTAATGAAAGGTTTTGTAAAAAGTTTGTTAAAGATATAATGTTCTGTCACGTTCCTTGCTGATTCAGTGGAACGTTACTAAGCTGAGGTACGTTCCTTGCTGATTCAGTGGAACGTTACTAAGTTGAGGTACGTTCCTTGCTGATTTAGTGGAACGTTACTAAGCTGAGGTACGTTCCTTCCTGATTCAGTGGAACGTTACTAAGCTGAGGAACGTTCCTTCCTGATTCAGTGGAACGTTACTAAGCTGAGGTACGTTCCTTGCTGATTCAGTGGAATGTTACTAAGTTGAGGTACGTTCCTTGCTGGTTCAGTGGAACGTTACTAAGTTGAGGTACGTTCCTTGCTGATTCAGTGGAATGTTACTAAGCTGAGGTACAGCTTGTTTAGATAAGACTGTTTCTACTACAGAATGAGTAGTGAGTATGATATCAAGACATGGCAGCAGAAGATACGGGATCTAGAGAAAACCACAGACGAACTGCAAAACAAGGTCACCAAAAAAGAACGAGAATGTGAAATCAAAGCAGAGGAAAAGGTGTGTGGCCTGACTTATAAAACATTCAAGATAACAGCAAACTTTCATTTACCTTGTTATTTTGAAATGAATGATCAAATCTACCTTTAATAGCAAAACTTTCCCCCCAACTGATATTTTTTTTTTTGTCAGGATGAACTGTCATCTACAGTAACAAGAATGAAGAACAAGTTGGAAAAGGAAATGCAAGCTCAGCAGGAAATGAAGCAGACGATAGCAGACTACTCGGCTCAGATAGAGGCTCTACGGAACCAGGTCAGTAGATTGTCAAAAAACCTAATACATTTGTTATCAAAGAAAGGTTTCTTATGTTGAAAACTCTGATCTCGCTATGAAATTCTCACCCTTCAATTAACTTTTGCAAGATGTCTTGAATTTAATAAAATTGATGAAAATAGAATGTACAGTTTCATGCAAATTCCTTCAGTTATCTGCTGAGCGGGGTGAAAGACAAAAGCTGACACATCTTGTGAAGACGGGCAGTCTTCCAGATGATGCCAAGATGGGGTTGTCAACAGCGGCCATCATGGACATAGGGAGTAATGGCATGTTACCTGACATCAGTTCTATTGGGGCTAAACCTGCTGGTCCTCCTCCCCCTCCCCCTCCTGGACCACCTCCTCCGCCTCCACCCTCTGCTCCAGGTAAACTCTTAGTGCTTTGACTCTTGTCAGATTTATTTCATATGAAATCAATTGTGAATATGATTTTACCTAAATTTTACACCTTATATTTTCAATAAAATTTGGTACAAATAAATGCTATTGAAGACTAGATGGATTGTCATTATGAAAGCATATCTTTATTATGTGTACTAATTTACTAAAATCATCATGAAAATTAATTTGACATATATGAACTCATTGATTCATAAAATTTGATTGATTTGCAGGTGCCCCACCCCCACCTCCTCCTGGAGGTGGATTCTCAAGCAAGCCATCAGGACCACGCCCAAAAAATCCTATGAAGTCTTTTAACTGGACCAAGATACCTGATGTAAGTCCTAGGACGTCTCTGCTGATGACGAGGCCTGGGCCACTGTAGGTCTCTGTTAGAGACTGGGCCACAAAAGGTCTCTGTTCAGAGACTGGGCCACTATAGATCTCTGTTAGAGACTGGACCACTGTAGATCTCTGTTAGAGACTGGGCCACTGTAGATCTCTGTTAGAGACTGGGCCACTATAGATCTCTGTTAGAGACTGGGCCACTGTAGATCTCTGTTAGAGACTGGGCCACTGTAGATCTCTGTTAGAGACTGGGCCACTGTAGATCTCTGTTAGAGACTGGGCCACTGTAGATCTCTGTTAGAGACTGGGCCACTGTAGATCTCTGTTAGAGACTGGGCCACTGTAGATCTCTGTTAGAGACTGGGCCACTGTAGATCTCTGTTAGAGACTGGGCCACTGTAGATCTCTGTTAGAGACTGGGCCACTGTAGATCTCTGTTAGAGACTGGGCCACTGTAGATCTCTGTTAGAGACTGGGCCACTGTAGATCTCTGTTAGAGACTGGGCCACTGTAGATCTCTGTTAGAGACTGGGCCACTGTAGATCTCTGTTAGAGACTGGGCCACTGTAGATCTCTGTTAGAGATTGGGCCACTGTAGATCTCTGTTAGAGACTGGGCCACTGTAGATCTCTGTTAGAGACTGGGCCACTATAGATCTCTGTTAGAAATTGGGCCACTGTAGATCTCTGTTAGAGACTGGGCCACTGTAGATCTCTGTTAGAGACTATGCCACTGTAGATATCTGTTAGAGACTGGGCCGCTGTAGATCTCTGTTAGAGACTGTGCCACTGTAGATCTCTGTTAGAGACTGGGCCACTGTAGATCTCTGTTAGAGACTATGCCACTGTAGATATCTGTTAGAGACTGGGTCACTTTAGATCTCTGTTAGAGACTGGGCCACTATAGGTCTCTGTTAGAGACTATGCCACTGTAGATATCTGTTAGAGACAAGGTCACTATAGATCTCTGTTAGAGACTAGGCCACTGTAGGTCTCTGTTAGAGACTGGGCCCCTATAGATCTCTGTTAGAGACTGGGCCACTGTAGGTCTCTGTTAGAGACTGGGCCACTATAGATCTCTGTTACAGACTATGCCACTGTAGATCTCTGTTAGAGACTGGGCCACTGTAGGGCTCTGTTAGAGACTGGGCCACTATAGATCTCTGTTAGAGACTATGCCACTGTAGATATCTGTTAGAGACTGGGTCACTTTAGATCTCTGTTAGAGACTGGGCCACTATAGATCTCTGTTAGAGGCTTTGCCACTATAGATCTCTGTTAGAGACTGGGCCACTGTAGATCTCTGTTAGAGACTGGGCAACTATAGATCTCTGTTAGAGACTAGGCCACTTTAGGTCTCTGTTAGAGACTGGGTCACTTTAGGTCTCTGTTAGAGACTGGGCCACTATAGATCTCTGTTACAGACTATGCCACTGTAGATCTCTGTTAGAGACTGGGCCGCTGTAGATCTCTGTTAGAGACTGGGCCACTATAGATTTCTGTTAGAGACTGGGCCACTATAGATCTCTGTTAGAGGCTTGGCCACCATAGATCTCTGTTAGAGACTGGGCCACTATAGATTTCTGTTAGAGACTGGGCCACTATAGATCTCTGTTAGAGACTGGGTCACTTTAGGTCTCTGTTAGAGACTGGGCTACCGTATATCTCTGTTAGAGACTGGGCCACTGTAGATCTCTGTTAGAGACTGGGCCACTGTAGGTCTCTGTTAGAGACTGGGCCACTGTAGATCTCTGTTAGAGACTGGGCCACTGTAGATCTCTGTTAGAGACTTGGTCACTGTAGATCTCTGTTAGAGACTGGGCCACTGTAGGGCTCTGTTAGAGACTGGGCCACTATAGATCTCTGTTAGTGACTGGTCCACTGTAGATCTCTGTTAGAGACTTGGCCACTATAGATCTCTGTTAGAGACTTGGCCACTATACATCTCTGTTAGAGACTGGGCCACTGTAGGTCTCTGTTAGAGACTGGGCCACTGTAGATCTCTGTTAGAGACTAGGCCACTATAGGTCTCTGTTGGAGACTAGGCCACTGTAGGTCTCTGTTAGAGACTGGGTCACTTTAGGTGTCTGTTAGAGACTGGGTCACTATAGATCTCTGTTAGAGACTGGGCCACTTTAGGTCTCTGTTAGAGACTGGGCCACTATAGATCTCTGTTAGTGACTGGGCCACTGTAGATCTCTATAAGAGACTAGGCCACTGTAGGTCTCTGTTAGAGACTGGGTCACTTTAGGTCTCTGTTAGAGACTGGGTCACTATAGATCTCTGTTAGAGACTGGGCCACTATAGATCTCTGTTTATATTCGTGTGGTTTTCCAGTAAAATTGAATTGTTCGGTACATTCAGAGGTCAAGGTCACTGGCAGATATCACTGTCAGGGATTTCAATGAAGATGTAACAGGGTGTCAATTTTGTAGAAAGACAAAAAGACATAACAAGTATTAAGACATACCAGATTTAATAATTTTCCCTCATACTTGATCTTATGATTCTGAAATCCATTGTATATAGTTCAAATGAGGAAATAAGATGGATGTTAAATGTTTTAGGGATAAAATACTCACATCCATATAATTAATAATTTATGACATTACTGGTACGATATGAAATATTAGTACAGGCTTTATCTCTTCTAGTTTAGAATTATAATCGATACATTCAAAATTATTTTCTGATTTGTTGTAGATGAAACTATCAGGAACTATTTGGTCTGGTCTAGACACAAAAAAGGTCAGTAAACATCACAGGTCTATGGTTCATTCTAACTTGTAATTTGGATTCAAAGATGTACACATAAATACTAAATAGAAACCGCATGGTAAGGTCCAACCTTTGTGAGCTATTTTTGTCTCCATCCTGAGCCTGCATTTTAAGGAAATTTAGCACCATTTTCTTTGAATGAAAACATGTAATTGTATTAAGTTGGTTTCAGTAAAGGTATTGTCACTCACTATTTGACACTTCCTGTGCTTGATGCATAATAAGAAAGAATACTAATTGATGATGTATCTATAGAATGTGAATTATTTGTAGGTATTGAAGATTTTAGACCTGGAGGATTTTGAACACAAGTTTTCGGCCTACCAGAAGAAGCAGAATGAGGATGGTGAGGAAACAAACTCCACAAAGACCAAGAACAAGGAGTTGTGTGTGATTGATGGGCGTCGGGCACAGAACTGTACCATACTTCTGTCCAAGCTAAAACTGACCAATGATGAGGTGATGAAGGCCATCCTGTCTGTAGACTCTCAGGAGGACCTCCCTCGGGACATGGTAGAACAGGTATGCTCCAACATCTCAAACAGTCCATTTCTAAAACTATTGGGAAGTCAAACTGAAGTTGGATCCTTGTATTCAATCATAGCTGGGGTAAATTCTACTCCCATAACATGAGAGGCCGCTGGTCGGCCTTTTTTCAATCGGACATGATTTTGCCGACTGCGACCTCTCATTTCCGAAACACTAATTCTTTGATGCAGTTTCCGCCCGAAATCCGGGCGGAACAAAATATGCTTGAAAAACTCACTAAAGTGGTTAACAGTTCATGACAACGATGTCTGCTCACAGTTTATATAATATAGATCTCATATGTATGTCATAGACACAAATATATAGTATATTACGGAATAGAACACTCAAAATACATGTCCATGTCGTTGTCGCACTTCTCTGACCTACATTTAAAACATGGCTTCTGGATTAATACAAAATAGCAAGGGGGATTTCAAACGGAACAAAATGATACGGAGTTTGTTTGTATTCCGCTTGTGAAACATTACATGTAATCCATTTTTGTATTAACCGGAAAAATCATGGCAAATGCTGTCTGCTTCGCTTCGAATGAGGAAAAACTCATTATTTATGTCTTTGACATGAATTTTTTCTCATATAATCATGGATTTATGGAAAGGAATATTTATTGGACCCTTTTGACCATTTAAATGTATGTAAACACGATATTACTCTTTCTTAATCCGAACTTTGAAAATGTGATCGTCAGCATCGGGAAAATCAGCTATGGGCAGTTAGAGTTTACGCGGCGCCTGTCAAAAGTTTTTCGCCGTGTAAAACCTCTAACATTGTTGGAGTAGGGTACATTCAAGGCTGTAGATAGACAGATGCATGCTGGTCTTGCCTTTTGTGAATAAAGTGGTACAATGTTAGAAACAATTGCTGCTTGGTTAATGATATTTTCTCACATCAGCATATGAAATTTTGAGCATACAAAGCAAGAAAAACTGTGCAGTCAAATAATATTGAGATTTTCATAAGTTGTATATTTCCTGAAAATAATTGGATTTGGAAAAATTACTTTACTATCATCATATGCTCCACCCTGAGCTGTTAAGCGGTACTAAACTGTTTCATCGTGGAAAATAAACGTAAACCTTGTGATCTTTGATACATCTAGGATTAAGACATTGTCAGATGCTTACACCTCTTGGCTGACTGATTCATTGAACCAACTGGTAAAATTAGCAGTTTCGAAAAAGACAAATTTAATGTTAAAATTCCATAAATACTTATTTACTAATGTCATGAAATTGTTCTCTACCAGTTACTGAAGTTTATACCTACAACAGAGGAGGTCCAATTACTAGCAGAACATTCCAAGGAGGTTGAACAGATGGCGCGGGCAGACAGGTTCCTGTACGAGGCCACGAGGTGAGTAGCTGGACTCCATACACTTACAGGGGTACAGAACTGTTATAATATGTTATAATATACCCAGCCTGTGTTATCATCATCAGATGCCATCTGTAGGTCTGTGTTAAAACTGTAAACAGAAATCAAGGTAGCTTTGAGGTAGCTTGAGATCAAATCTTAGTTCTACAGGAGAGCTACCAGTTCCGTACTAAAATGTGTTTGCACTTATTATGCCATGGATACAGTAAATGAAATTTGTTACTATCGTATCATTATTTTTTTGAAATGGTAAAATTTTGTTCTTCCATGGCTAATTATATGTCAGCAAAATGTCTGTTGAAGACCAGGATGTAATGTTGAAGATAAACACACATTTAAGATTGTAATCTCTATTCCAGGATATCTCATTATCAACAAATACTGTAATCTCTATTCCAGGATATCTCATTATCAACAAAGACTGTAATAGAGATAACAGTATTTGTTGATAATGAGATATCCTGGAATAGAGATAACAGCATTTGTTGATAATGAGATATCCTGAAACAGAGATTACAGTCTTTGTTTATAATGAGATATCCTGAAACAGAGATTACAGTCTTTGTTTATAATGAGATATCCTGAAATAGAGATTTCCGTCTTTGTTGATAATGAGACATCCTGGAATAGAGATTACAGTCATTATCAACAAATACTGTAATCTCCTATTCCAGGATATCTCATTATCAACAAAGATTGAACGCATTATATTTCAAGAAAAAGTTCCAGGAAAGAATCGGTGACATTAGACCCAAGATAAGTGGTAAGTAATTGAATTCTTATATAATCTTGATCAAACTGTATGAAAAAGATGTTCTATTGTCTAAACAAGTGCACTTCATTCCACCATAACAAACAAAATATAATTCTTATTCCATAATTATTGAAAAACAGTTTTATGTGTTGAAACAAAGTCATTGTTTAGGTTTATTTTGTACTGATTTCTCACTATATCATCGACTGGATCCTATACACATGACCTATTCATAAATTTCATGTGGACCAGTTTCCCGTTTCACATTAATTTTGAAATATAACCATGAGGGGATCCCCTGCACTTTTACTGCTTATAAACAGTTGTTTAATGAATTGATCAATATCGAAAAGGCTCGCCGTTTGATGAATTGATCAATATCGAAAAGGCTCGCCGTTTAATGAATTGATCAATATCGAAAAGGCTCACCGTTTGATGAATTGATCAATATCGAAAAGGCTCACCGTTTGATGAATTGATCAATATAGAAAAGGCTCGCCGTTTAATTAATTGATCAATATCGAAAAGGCTCCCCGTTTAATTAATTGATCAATATCGAAAAGGCTCGCCGTTTAATGAATTAATCAATATCGAAAAGGCTCACCGTTTAATGAATTGATCAATATCGAAAAGGCTCACCGTTTGATGAATTGATTAATATAGAAAAGGCTCCCCATTTAATTAATTGATCAATATCGAAAAGGCTCACCGTTTAATGAATTGATCAATACCGAAAAGGCTCGCCTAGATCAATGTGATTTTTTCAGGTTCTTATCAACATGAACCATCACAAAAGTCCATAATTGTACAGTATATATGTACATACAAAGAATGATTTTCACTGATACCTTTCGTTGATATCCAATGTTACGTTTATGTTTTCACAATTAAAATTGCTTAAATCTTTGGGAGCAAATCCAATTTTATTCATATGGCTATGAATGCAATAGGGTTTAGGTGGAAGCAGCTGCAATGATGATGTAAGTATGGAGAATAATGATCAAGTTAATGAACGACAATGTAAATAAAGGGTATATAATAAAATGTTAATTTAGTTTATTATCGCAATATTTATGACCGCAAAAAATGTAATGTAAACCCTACAAATGCGTTGACCTTGTGATGGAGAGTTAGTTAAGAAAAATATCAGTGTTGTTTGCAGTAAGCCCCTTACACTGGTTAGAATCCCAATCCTCCCCGTTACTGTGCTTACACAGTTTCGTTTATTTGGGGTTTAACATCCTCTCAACAGCTAGCCAGGGTCATATGAGGACAGGATACTATCACAAGCATTTCACAGTCTTAAAAAAAAGAATATGAAAAATATTAAATCATGCTCACGGAATTATTTTTTTCACGTTCCAAACAACCTTCGTGACAATGTTTGGCAGTTTGTTGATAACTTTGCAATGTTTATGATTTCAGCCGTTGTTAGGTCCTCACAAGACCTCCCAACAAATAAAAAGTTTAAACAGTTACTGGAAATCATTTTGGTGCTTGGCAATTTTATGAACCGTGGACAGAGAGGAAATGCCGGAGGGTACAGAATAGAAAGTCTGAACAAGATGTTAGACACGAAATCCAGTGTAAACAGGAGCGTCACGCTTCTCCACTTCACAGTGGAGGTGATAGAAAAACAGGTAATGACAGCTGTTCCTCAGATACGTTATTCTTGTATACGTATTGTGCAATATAGAGATTTTGATTACAGCATGTCACTTTCTTTATCAGATGTGGTGCCCTCACACTTACTTGTTTGGGTTTGTTACAGTATTGGTTACTATAGCCTTATGCTCTTTTTTTGTTTAGTTCCCTGCCTTACTGAAGTTGGAAAAAGAACTTGATTGTGTAAAGGTTGCCGCTAAAGTCAAGTGAGTATAAAATGGAGCTAGCAGTTTGTACACTAACTTCTGTGTATGATTGACACATCAAATACTATCAGTAACATGCACCTACAATGTTGTCACTCACATGATATTTCATGAGGTGTGTATTTTCATGTTAATTCTTGATAAGAACTTTTGTGGTAAAGACCAGTGTGGATGTCATTTACAGTAGTGATGGTTAATATTATGTTTTTTCTGTGTCTCGATAAAGGAGTGGATTGCTCCAAAACTTTGATAACATCATTGTAACAGGAAAGAGAATATTGTGCTTCCACCGGGATCGAACCCTCGATCTCTAGGGCCCTAGTCGGAGGCTCTATCACTGAGCGAAAGGGAAATTCCCCTCTAGCTCAAAGCTAGAAGGAGACTGTAATCCTATGTACATTTAAAATCTGCCACATCATATTGTCTACACTGTTACAATTAATTCCTTGCCCCATTTACCATTTTTAAGTAATCGTATCCTACAAACATACGCTTGCAAGGATCCAGTGTTATTTGAGAAGTTACCGTTGATATTAGTTCTTTGACCCATATCTCTAAATATAAATATATATGTCTCTACTTTCAGTTTGGCAGAGCTGGATAAAGATATTGCTATGATAAATATGTATGTCTCTACTTTCAGTTTGGCAGAGCTGGATAAAGATATTGCTGTGATAAAAGCTGGCCTAGAAGAAATTGAAAAAGTATGGTTTTTTTATTTTAACATACTTTAATATCCAGTGCCCAGCACTGAAGCCCCCAGAAGCTACCATATCAATTTTCTGAAAGTTACTTCTGTACCTTTTGACACCCAAGTAATATTTAATATTAAAGTCCAATTTTCTTGACACCCATCTCAGCACTATATCAGTTACAGTAACTTATACATATATTGCTATGGGCAATGGGTATCTTAGTCATTAACTTTAAAAATAAAAAATAAAAAAATTGTCAGTTTTATCCATGTCTGTTTTTCTGTAGTTTGTGATACAGATGTTGCTTCATTGAGATTTCGTGCTAGGCATTTGAGTATTTCGCCTTGAAAAGATAGCACGTGATATCCATTACAGGAACTTGAATATTTCCGAAACCAGCCTTCTCATGATAAACGTGACAAGTTTGTGAATGTGATGAATGACTTCCACTCTGTGGCATCCTATAACTTTTCGGAGGTGGAGGAACATCGGGATGAGATGCTTCAAAAGGTAACCAAGTGTTATTGGCTATGTACTCAAAGTTTGTTAATACATAAAGACTAAAACTTTCACCAACTTATCTTCTTACTAATGAACTATCAATATTTATGATCTGATGCCTGCATTTTACCCTGAAATAATTTATGTGATAATTTATCATGAGTTACATGAAATCTTGCTCTGAAATACATGGAATTTTATCCAGAACATATATACCTGAAACATTACCTCGAAATAGATGAAATCTTGACCTGAAATACGCACATTCCTAAAATCTTCACCTGAAATAAGTACATTCCTAAAACCAGGACCTGAACTAAATGAGAATTTAGGGAGTGAAAACTTCACGAAATAGAACTATATTGTCATCAAAAATTCTTTGCACGATATTGGGCTTCATTTTCATCTCATGCAATCAACATTGTGTCAATTAGTTGCAGTAGAAACTGTTTTGATTGAAATTTTGGGAATAAGACATTTCCTATGTATTTTGATTATGGATGCACTGAATGTATTTTATGTACTGTTGTAGTTTGGTAAATCCTTGAAGCAGTTCTGTGAGCAGGAGGCCTATGACAACAAACCTGATGAGTTTTTCAGCATTATAGATTCATTTCTTAGTTCTTTGACTGAAGCCAAGGCAGAGAATGAGCGAATCAAAAAACAGAAGGAGGAAGAGGAGAAAAAGGCTGTATTTGAGGAATCAGTAAGTGCTTTATTACATATGTTTAGTTTCATTGAATTGTTAAGTTAATATTCACCTGAAAGTTTAAAGTTCACTTGTTTTGTGACTGAAAAGGTACATGCATGCATCATTGTTTATGTCTAAGAGACCATGATTATATGGGACAAAGGCTACAAAAATTACAACGGTATCCTATTCTGTCATATAATACAAAGACATGAGATAGACATCAAGATCACATCAGAATTTATGAAATAAGAAAATGATATTTTTGCTGCTTTTCTAATTCTATCTGGACAAGCATCTAAGTTTTCAGTTGGAATGAAAAAAGACAAACAGTACTTGCGAAATTGTAGACAGGAAATAGGGAATTTGTTTTTCAAAAAAGAAGAAAAAATGGTTTGTTTACTTTGAATAAGGTATTAAAGGTGGTAATTTGATCTTGGTAATAAAAAAATACCTACAATGGTCTGTTTACTGCAGATAAAGAAGGAGCGTGAGAGACTGAGGAGTAGGAGAGCTGACAGCCCCATCAGAAACGGAGTGGAGGCAAAGAAATCTAACAAAGGTACGGAGACCTTCAGTATCAAATTTCTCTCATCTCCTGTAATAGTTTATTCTGTTCTTTCATTCAAGTTGAACATAATAGTAAATACTGATATGCTGATAAGTGTTGATGGTGTCATGTGACATTTCAAAAATCTGATAAAATTATAACAGGAAAAGTAGGTTGAGGCCATAAATCTAATTGTCTTTTTGTCCTCAAGAATGATCAGAAAATATTTTGACAAAAGTTCCTGTAATTTTGTGAGATATGTTCATGTAATAAATACTGTTCAATGTGTGAAGCTATGGCTGCATTCTGTGCCTTATTTTCTCATTGCAGGAGAATTTGATGAGCTTATCTCCGCGCTAAGGACAGGGGATGTGTTTGGTGATGAGTTCAAAGGTAGACGCATCAGAAAGAAACCACCACCTAGCAAAGATGATACAAGGGAGAGAACTGGTCCAGTTTCTTAACAATAATTTGTGAATATTTATGCAGGGGAAACAACTTGTACAGGCTTGTCTGTCTACGTGAGCTAGGCTCGCTACTGATTCTTAGGTCAGATATATTGGCATCTCAAGTTTGTTTGAATGAATAGAGATGCTGAAAATTCTGTGAACAGAAGAAGAACAAATGAAGAAGATGAAGACTAACAAAGAGAAAGAAAAAAGAGTGTTTGAAGAAACTGGTCTTACAATTATTGTTCAGTAAAGTGTCTTTTTGCAGGATCAATATCAAGTTTTAATGTTATACCAGCATGCATATTACTACCAATAGCTTTTCATTGAGTAGGTTAAACATGACTTATAATGGAAGTGTAGGATCTGGAGGATTGAAAGGATTTGTCTAATTGATAATGGAAGTGTAGGATCTGGAGGATGGGGAGGGTCCCCGGTTTGTCTAATTGATATTGAAAGTGTAAGATCTGGAGGATGGGGAGGGTCCCCGGTTTGTCTAATTGATAATGGAAGTGTAGGATCTGGAGGATGGGGAGGATTTGTCTAATTGATAATGGAAGGGTAAGATCTGAAGGATGGGGAAGGTGTGTCTAATTAATGACGAGAGTGTAGGATCTGTCTAGGGGATGGCAAGGGTTTGTCTAATTGATAATGGAAGTGTAGGATCTGGAGGATGGTAAGGGTTTGTCCAATTGATAATGGAAGTGTAGGATCTGTCTAGGAGATTGAGAAGATAGTAATAGACAGATCATAAGTCACTTTTTTTTTTTAAATAGTGTATACAGCTTGTCATTCCTACTGTGAAATTTTGTGTTTTTGTAAAAATACATTTTCACTGCCTTGTCCATTTCAATTTCAACCTTCTTCTAAAACAGAATTGACACCGGTAACAGATAGATTACCTTGTAAAATCTGAAGTAACAATAGGAAATGTGAAGCTTAGAAACATGACAGGAATACATTTATCCTGTCTGTAATTTAACCTATATAATATGTAAATGTTCTGCTGTTTATAGTGCCGTTAACAGCTTACGTTTTCACGATTATGCCTCAAATGACATTGCAGGATCCTTAAATGCTGCAAAACAGCTAAGCTTCAGAAGGCGCCTTCTTTACAAGAATTTGTTATCGTGATAGAGTACCAGACGTAAATGGAGTTTTTCATTTAACGTTTTTGAGATATTTACATTTGTAAATGTCAAAAGTATTAGCACAAAAAATATTTACAGTTAATTTGGCAAAAGTTATTTTATGGAAGTGTAAAAATGAAGCAATTTGTTATAAAATTAAGTTTCACCAGATAATACCTGGTAAGCAGACACTCATAAACATGGAAAAAAATCCACTGATCTGCAAAATAGAGTTCTATATATCTAGGTGAAGTCGAGTGGATTCAGTGGTATGACTGTGTTTGCCGAGAGATTACTATTTGTTTATAGTGCTGTATAACATATTCCACGGAGAACAGATCTAGTTTTGTGACATTGTTAGAGATCAATAACAATCCCGTAATCTACAATCAAAATAGTATGTGGCTAGTGACTGTGATTTCCCGCCAACTGATATGGCTTCGTATGCATTTTGTACAGGAAAAGTCATGTACAGCATCCCACAGGAGCACTCCCTGATAAAGTTACACATTCTGATGGCCATGGGGTGGTGGGTGTATGTTAATATTTAGTTATGGCTCCCAGTGATGTGTTCATTTTCCAATCTTTTCTATCTAGAAACATATTAATTATTAGAAAGAAAAAAAATACCTCGGACACAATATATCTAGTCACTGAGAGTTAGATCTGTCTAATTATTTGTCATCCTCTCATATTTTAGATTTTGTTGCTTTAGAATAGTGCTTCTGTGTTAGCACATATTTGGTCGAAAATTAACAATGCTGTACTATGTACTAGATAAAATATCACCTGTCTATTGAAACCTACAAAGAGGACCAATGTTTTTCACACAATAGGACAGTATATCACATTTAATATGTTTTTTCGCTGTGTAATATCATCGAGCTGGTCATCCAAAGTAGCCTATATTAACTATACTTTTACCCCTAATTATCTACTGAATTGATGAGTTGACTAAGTGTATTGCTAGCTCTCACAGCCTGTATCTACTGAATTGATGATTTGACTAAGTGTATTGCTAGCTGTCACAGCCTGTATATAGTTATACCCCTAACCAGTATATCTACTGATTTGATGATTTGACTAAGTGTATTGCTAGCTCTCACAGCCTGTAGATAGGTATACCCCTAACCAGTATATCTACTGATTTGATGATTTGACTAAGTGTATTGCTAGCTCTCACAGCCTGTAGATAGGTATACCCCTGATTATGACTTAGTTTATTGCTAGCTGTCACAGCCTGTAGATAGGTATACCCCTGATTATGACTAAGTTTATTGCTAGCTGTCACAGCCTGTATATAGTTATACCCCTAACCAGTATATCTACTGATTTGATGATTTGACTAAGTGTATTGCTAGCTCTCACAGCCTGTAGATAGGTATACCCCTAACCAGTATATCTACTGATTTGATGATTTGACTAAGTGTATTGCTAGCTGTCACAGCCTGTAGATAGGTATACCCCTGATTATGACTTAGTTTATTGCTAGCTGTCACAGCCTGTAGATAGGTATACCCCTGATTATGACTAAGTTTATTGCTAGCTGTCACAGCCTGTATATAGTTATACCCCTAACCAGTATATCTACTGATTTGATGATTTGACTAAGTGTATTGCTAGCTCTCACAGTCTGTAGATAGGTATACCCCTAACCAGTATATCTACTGATTTGATTAAGTGTATTGCTAGCTGTCACAGCCTGTAGATAGGTATACCCCTGATTATGACTAAACTAGCTGTCACAGCCTGTAGATAGGTATACCCCTGATTATGACTTAGTTTATTGCTAGCTGTCACAGCCTGTAGATAGGTATACCCCTGATTATGACTAAGTTTATTGCTAGCTGTCACAGCCTGTATATAGTTATACCCCTAACCAGTATTAAAAACCCCTTCATGTCTGTGCTATCTTATTACACCATATCTGTTATAAAGTTGGTGAATGTGATTCTGACAATTTTACAGTCAAATAATAATGACGGTAGTCCCCTACTTGTTAACGTACCTATGTAGTTTATATCTAACATGTGCAATAACATAATTATTTCTGTAAATATTTCAACAGAAAGTGGTGGGTTTAATAATCCCATTTTCTGTCAGACTGCATTTTAGCAGTCGGCCATATTTGTATCACCTTATATGTATATCGTCGTGGGATTTTTCTGTAAGTTCCAACAACGGAATCCATGAAATGTGTGTCCAAATCTTTTCCAGAATTGAGAAGTCTTCTTGGTAGACTGACTTATTTATAGTCTATGCAATCAGTAGTGATTTGTTTTCCAAGACTTTTTTCTTCTAAAAATAGAGACAGAACATTTTTTTATCTGGGACGAGTACCATATGTGCTTCCTTGTTCGTGCTTTCCACGCCACATGTACCCAGCCATTGTGGGAGAGGTTTTTATCAATACCAGTGCCTGTCAATATGTCTGATAACGTTAGACACACACCAGTGTTATATAACAACACGGACTTTGTAACAGGGCCCACTTATAATGTGAGCACAGCATAGACAACTGACCAAGTACACGTTTTTATGACTAGACAATTACAAACGTTTACTAAATATATTATGATGTTTTAAATGTTGAAAGGCTTCCAGTAATGTGTTTTATAGTGGCGATTGATAATTCATAGATGTGAACCTTAGTCACCTTATTACGTGAGTTTAAATTGATACACCATGTTTAGCTTACAGTAGGTGTGCTGTGGCTTGATTGTTTAACTCCTTCACCCCTGAAATTTCATAATGACCTATTCCAACCGTTGAATTAGGAGAGTTCAAATGTGTCTTCAGGGGTGGATGAGTTAAACAATGTGGTCACCATGCTATCTGTAGACTTTAGCCAATATACAGTGTTGTGAACGATCTGTTATTGTTTTATTACGTGACCTTTATGAAGGTTGAATGTTAATTTTGTCGTTATTTTGCTCTTCACCTTGCATAATTAAATATATATCGAGGAGAGGTTACAAAGAGAAATTGTTACATTAAGTATCTAGCTCAAAATAAGATTGCCTGACCGATGAAGAAATTTAAAGAAAAAGAAGCTTATGTTAATATTTTATTGATCAATTTTATACACTTGGCTAACTAATCAAACTAAGTACCTTTCTAGTGGCATTTTACATCTGTTTTTAGAATCATGTGTTAACTTTTTGTTATAAACCACCCGAGCATTCACACACACAGTTCATAGAAGACTGATTCATATCAATTTAAAAGTGGACCATCATACTATGATTACAATATGTAACCACCGTAACTTGGTATAGCCGATATGTTGACATTTCGTGAAGTCCGTTACTTCGTTTGTATATTCCTGATATTCCTGATGTATTGTTGATGAGAACAATCAGAATATCGAGGTTCTTCTGTACAATGTAAATACATTATGTTCAAAGTATAACTTCATTTCTCATGGGATTATTTCTTCCCAATCCTTCAATATAAACAATCAATCATATTCGCTGTATTTTTATATTGCACATTTGCCATTCATTACGATTTTTGTAACCTTTCATTAATCAAAATTTCTACATTCTGGTTTCTTTGGACTACAATTAACTATCTTCAACTAACTATATCAAGCTAAAACTTATTCATTTATAAATATAAAGTACAATGGATACCTGGTGATTCTTTATTTCGTAAATCCAAATAGTTTTTCAGTCAGTTGCTAAAGTAGTATACATTTCACATTCCATTCATAAAAAATATTTTGGATTTTGAATGAATTAAGACAAATGAAGTTTAGTGTTTGGGGAAGTCGTATGTTTGGAGTAGATTTTGTAAATTTTGTGTCTCAATCTTTGTGAGTGATTTGTAAACTTGTTATATGGATCAATTACGTCAACATGTACAGGTAAGATAGTGATAGTGCACACAGGTCAGGTGGTGTGTGAAACCATACACAGGTAGTAGTATTTACAGAAACCACCAACATAAAAACGATCTTATATTTAAACCAAAAGTCCACGTTGATCAGCAAATATATTTCGATACTATTGTTCAGTGTAATACTAAGAATGACATAATTATACAAGCGTGTTGGGTAAAAATAACTATAGTATATATACATATATAATTATATATACGCAGTAATAGCGTACCACCACTAACCACGGCACGTACAACTATCTTACCTGTATAGGTGTATGTAGACTCGATCTAATAGATGTTTGCTGTACTCGTTTTCAGTGTGGTTTTCACCGTTTATATTAGCCGCTTACCTTTACCGTGTTGTAACATTTCTTATGTAATTACGACATTTCAGTTTTGTATGTTTATTATTGTGTATTTATGTATAACAATATATATCTCTGTCTGACCACATTTTAAATCGCTTTCAGTTGGACTTTGTATTTGTTAAAACAGTACAGAAAATTAACAAAACTTCCTTATTTCATTATATCTATATTAGATGTTATTGACTCAGCACCAGCCAGGGGTTAAACAATACTGATAAAGGCTGATCTAAACACGTCTCCTTGACACATAACGTTCGTCATGCAGAAGTCTGTATTGGAACCTTGTGCAATGCCAATGAATTTAGTTATACAAATCTAAAACGAGGCTTGAGTTCATTATATCGGGCTTCATCTGCTTAATGACACAGGAAGATAATATCAAATCGTAAAAAATGTAATTTTCAAAACTGAAAAACTATGTTCACCCTCAGATGGTGTACAACTCTTTTTTTTCTACACATTGAAAGAAAAAATGAAACACTGAAATAAAAATAAATGAAAATTTGACTCGACGTGTCAGTGATGTTATGAAATGTGATACGATTGATCCAGGACATGATATTACCATGTTATGTTTGAAACAACATCGTCATGATCTTTTGTATGTAAATCATAAATGAATTGCTATGTTTATGAAGACTACAGGAACACTGAATATAAAACGTGGATTTGTCCTATACCTTGGATATCGACGAAGAATACTTTTATCACACATACAGGGGGGTCATACCTGATTGGTTGCGACTTTTAATACTTTTAACAGACGCAAATAATTAAAACAAATACGCAGTTATTACATTGATACGACGCAGATAGTTTGTTTACAAAACCTAGTTAATATAATGTCAAGCAATACATCACTATGAAGATATGTACCCATCAAGTGGGGCCCGTTAATGTTTACCTGTTAGTGTCGGTTGGCCCTGTCGAATTCATCACAAGTATCTGCTATTTTCAATAATTAAAACTATGATAAATAGCTAAAACAATACAGAATCTTTTACCTAATATAGGTCGTTTTGTAATCAATAATTTATACACAGATCTACAATTTACACTCGTTTGACCTTCTCATTGTTTTTAAATTAAACAGCAAATACCTGTGTTTTCACATGACCATTCGGACCACTGCAATGTAGCCTGCGTTTTATTTCCTCTGGCCATGTTTACTTACAACTTATTTGTATTTCATAACCTTGCTACGGTTGCAATATCGACATAATTATTTTGTAAACATTTTATTTTATATACATTTATATTTACATTCATTGATTTTTTTGTAAACTTATGTTATTTTGAATTAAAATAAATGTTATGTTCATGAATTGATAATGTGTTGTAATTTTATTGACCTAAAATTAAGAAGAAATTGTCCTTACAGGATAAACCAATAATGATATGATGTAGCATAATAACGATTACAATCATCATGGACCAAAGAACAGTTGTATACCCATAAATATTCCACAGAAGGACGCACTAGGAAACCCAGAGTCGATACGGTAAGACATCATTAATATGACATTCATATTGTTAAATCTGTATGAGGAATAGATTTAAGCTATTCAGAAAAGGTATTAACCCGAAAGTTTCTATTTAGCCATTTAATGTAGTCTTTGACAATGAACAATAACGATTTTGGAATTTAGTTAGCAGGTAATGGTTAAAGCGTTTCTATTATTATATTATTTTTTTTACATTTATCAAGTAAATCTCGGAAGATTGGTGTTCGTCGGTTGCTTGTACCGGGTTTAACGTAAGAATGGTGTTCGTCGGTTGCTTGTACCGGGTTTAACGTCCTATGAAGATTGGTGTTCGTCGGTTGCTTGTACCGGGTTTAACGTAATATTGGTGTTCGTCGGTTGCTTGTACCGGGTTTAACGTAAGATTGGTGTTCGTCGGTTGCTTGTACCGGGTTTAACGTAAGATTGGTGTTCGTCGGTTGCTTGTACCGGGTTTAACGTAAGATTGGTGTTCGTCGGTTGCTTGTACCGGGTTTAACGTAAGATTGGTGTTCGTCGGTTGCTTGTACCGGGTTTAACGTAAGATTGGTGTTCGTCGGTTGCTTGTACCGGGTTTAACGTAAGATTGGTGTTCGTCGGTTGCTTGTACCGGGTTTAACGTAAGATTGGTGTTCGTCGGTTGCTTGTACCGGGTTTAACGTCCTATGATGACTGGTGTTAACACCAATGATTAGGTCAGTCGTAAATATAACTCCAAGGCGGTGTTGTGTCGATCGGTAAATGACAAAGGTTTCCGAAGTATATCAAAGATTGCTACTTTATCAACAGGGAAAGCCTAGGCAGCTGAAATGAGTTTTATTAAGGATAAACTTGAATATATTTTTCATGTTATGGAGCTATAATACAAAAAAACGGAGTGTACTCTAATTAAACCGCGAAGCGGTTTATGATGAGAGTACACTCCGTTTTTTTTGTGTTATAATTTATAATTTAAACTCCTATACAAAATCCCTGTGGAAATCCACCTTTATTGATGGACTCTTTTCGAAATTATTGCGCCGACGGCGACGTCATTTTTTTACGTTATGGGCTAATAACATAATTTTTAAGCCAATGAAAATGCTTGTTACAAGCAAGATTAAATTATATATTCAAAACATTGATGAAATGAACCCATGCACTAATATATTTTACGAACAATAGGACGTTAGATAAAATAATGATATTCTGATTACATATTCTATTGTATTATTAGAGATTATTATAAGGACATACAAATGACAACGACGATGTAAAGGGCACTACTGTAACAGTAATAATCGCCCTTATTGTATTCTCCCTAAGAGTATTCTCCCTTAGAGAAGTTCTCCTTAGTGTATTCTCCCTTAGCGTATTCTCCCTTAGAGTAGTCCCCCTTAGTGTATTTCCCTTGAGTATTCACACTTAATGTATTCTCCCTTAGGGTAGTCCCCCTTAGCATATTCTCCCTTAGAGTAGTCCCCCTTAGTGTATTTCCCTTGAGTATTCACCCTTAATGTATTCTTCCTTAGAGTAGACCCCCTTAGTGTATTTCCCTTGAGTATTCACCCTTAATGTATTCTCCCTTAGAGTGGTCCCCCTGAGAGTATTTTCCCTTAGTATATTCACCATTAGAGTAGTCCCCCTTAGTGTAATCATTCAACCTTAAATAATTCTCCCTTGAAGTATTCACCCTTAGTGTATTCTCCTTTTTATATAGATGATGTCCCTTTTTTCTGATGAAGTAACCTAAAGAAGTTTGTCTGTTCAAAGTTACTTAGGTATTTATCTCTCATTTTGATGCGGCACCTATATCATTCTAGGATAGAGTGTAGGATTGGCAGCGGAGATTCCAGTTTTCTGTTTGACCCCTGCAGTTTTCTCCCCACCCGTACACCCCCACCCATTTTCAAATAAATCTGTGAGACGCGTTGCTAGATTAGATTCGTATGGAATACACATGTGGAACATTAAACAAACACTTCCCATAATGACAAAAACAACATATTACATCATATATAGTGGTACTCTTTACTTAAATTTAGGAAAATAATTATAGCAAGCCCCTACCATCCTAGGGAAACTGAATACCGTAGGAATGAATGTAAGAGTAAAATATAAATCCACAATAGGGAAAAACTCTTGCATACTCACCGTTGTGTGACCGTCAAGGAATTGACTTTCAAAGATGTCGGCTACTAAGGCGACAAAACCGTGATCCGACTCAAAATAAACTAAGGCAAAATAGGAACAACGGAAATATTGACACGGAGACAAAATAAACTAGGGCAAAATAGGAACAACAGAAATATTGACATGGAGACCATTGAAAAATGTACAATGGAATATAGACCAGGTGTTCCATAAGGATAAGCGTCGTCTGCTCCATCGACCACACCCGTTATGTAAATCTAGATCAAATACAAGGTCACGTCTCCAAGCGAGAACCATTGAGTAGTGACAACGAAACACACTAATGAACAAAAAAGAAAACGTCGACCGTTCTGACACACATAGAAATATAATGTTCCCAATGAGATTGTGATGGCGACCATAAAACACGCACAGTCTGTATCAAATTGCATCTCCGGGAAAGCATTGGCCAATTATTGGATGGCCTTCTAAATCGAAATAAAAAGTTAGACATGCAAGAGGCCCAGTGGACCTGCATGGTATTAATCTCACACTTGTAATCTTAAAAGTGGACTAAAATACAGCTACAGGCAGAATATCAGTGTTTGATTCATAATAACCTATTAAAATATTTTAACATATGACGCCTGTGACCTTGAATGTCGAACAAGGACATTAGGTAGAAAGTGAGTCAAGGTCATTCATTTGAACTTACTTGGTAGCCCTTCATCCCAGCATGCTACAGGCCCAAATTCAGTACCCTGGGCCTTTTGGTTATTGAGAAGAAGTCGTTTGAAGATTTTACGACATTTGACCCCTGTAACCTTGAAAGTGGGTCAAGGTCATTCATTTGAACGAACTTTGTAGCCCTTCATCCCAGCATGCTACAGGCCCAATATCAGTACCCTGGGCCTATTGGCTATTGAGAAGAAGTTGTTTGAAGATTTTACGACATTTGACCCCTGTGACCTTGAAAGTGGGTCAAGGTCATTCATTTGCACAAACTTGGTAGCAGTTTATCCCAGCATGCTACTGGCCAAACATGGTAGCCCTTAATCCCAGCATGCTACTGGCCAAATATCATTATGTATTATTTTAGAAGGGAGGTGAGAACAAACTGCGGCTAACGTTTATGTGTATAAATCTGTTAAAATCATAGGACAATGTACTGGTCAATTTGGACAGATAACAAAATAACTACCCATGTCCAACGATTTTACTTTCAGATCAATCGACAAGGTGTTGTCTTGACAATCCCTCTTCACTTGAAATCAAGGACATAAAAGACACTTCTTCATCAGTCGCTTTACTCCATTTTACTTTGAAAATGTGAACAACAGGAACGGCTCACTAAGCTTTACAATGAGCTAACGATTTCTATTTTGTGGTCATAAACTTTCCCTTACTTAAAAGCTACATCCCTGATTCCACTTAAAACGGTGTAAACATTTCGCATTGGATTTGGTTTTCACACAAATATTATTTCCGTAATAGATACATTTGTATCGACTGCTGAGAAATAAAATTACAACAAGGTTTCGCAAGTTGATGATCCAGCTATGGCGAAGATTTATGGTCGATACCATGATCTCACTTGGAAATATGCTACTCCCTTGTCTATGAAGGTAGATGTTTTTAAGTATGCTCAATAGTGAACATTGTGTAGTCACTGACCCCGTTCTCGCTTAGAGGACGCGACATTTACATGACTGGTGTTGTCGATAAACCAGAGGAAGTTCGACCTTCTGGACTATTAAATGTTATTTTTCAAGCGCCTCCATATAAATAATTCTTTTGTTAAAATATTGCTCTAGTTTCACCGATTTTGAGTTCAAAACTGCTCAATTGACACTTTGGTATTTTCCGAATGTTTTTTCTCTCTCAAAAGTTCTTTCTCGTGCATTCTTTATTCTTGATAACCGGGGACATACGCGTCCTTATTGCAAAAAAAAGGATGATTCTGAACTACCAACGCTATAATTGAAATACTAACAGGAAAGATGATAAACACGAGACGTAGCGGAGTAACATGAAAGTTTATTTTAACATGGGAATATTTACATAAAACACCTACATATAAAGCATTAACGTATTAACAGTGATCAGTGGCTTTAAGACTGTTACGCCTGTTTGTAAATAAGTAAATTAAAGTTCAAACAGTATATACTTATCCACATTCAATAGGATTAAGATTTTTTATTAACATTAAATGTGTCACTGACCTGTGACATCACAAGGTACTAACATGCCGTTTCGTTCTTAAACGTTTTGAACAATAAATGGAATATAGATGTACTGGGGACTATAAACCTTTTTCACATGTAGATCTTTGTCGCCCTTCTTTGTGACGTGCCAATACTGTCGTGACAATTTAAACGAGTAAAACTTCGTATAACGTATCAACTGCAGATCAGAGCAGGTGTGCGATAAAATAAGTATAGACAGATATACGAGGTGTGTCGGGACGCCTTTTATTCTTTTGCAAGAGAGCCTTCAATGAAGCCTACTTACAACCACAGTCGTGACACCTTCCACAGAAATACTTACCCGCATCAACTTGCTGTTAACGAATACCAATTATAGCTAAATGATAGAATTATAGCAGTGCTTTTCATCTTACTTGGATATGGTGAGTAATAATCGACAAAAGCAGTATAATATATTTTAAGGAGAAAAGTACAAAGAATTTTAAAGTATAACGCAAGCGATTTGAAATGGATTTATAGTTATTCGTTTAATAATAATTTGCTAGATGATGACCTGTTCATTATTCTTTTATCCATTTGCTTAAAATTTAAACTTTGTTCTCAAACGTTAACCTTTTAAACATCCTCTATAATCCGGGGGTTACGCTTTCTGCATCCGTGGAATATGGCATAACACATTCGAAGGCGAGGTGTGCATCAACAGATCATTTTGAAATCGGGTGTCGCTCCTCTGTGATCTTCATAGAACAAGTATCAGCCTCGAGATTGGTCAGGTTGTTTTTACCGGAGACCAATCAAATAGCTAGCCGCGTGCCATCAATATTCCAGGGGTGCAGAGAGCGTAAGTGAGCGTTACCCATGGATTATCGAGGATGCCTGTTTGAAGTGATACTTACCGGATTTTTTCACTTTCATTTGGATATACTTTGAGACAAATACTTAGCATACAGATTTAATCGCATGGCCAACACTTAAATTTTGGAACCCTCATATCGACATCTTAACGTGTTATATATATATACTGTTCACACATCTGGTAAATATGAACCTTACTATTTGGTCATGATTTTGATAGCGGATCCACTAGTAGTTAAAACTAACATTTGCGTAAGATTTTTTTGTGCAATTGTTCCAAAAGGTAATGCTAGACTCAATTGTTTTCACATGTCGGTAATTATAATTTGTGTCACTAAAACCAATAACAAAAGTAGCTCCAACCATGTAATCGAGACCAAACTACTTTCACACATGCAAAATGTAATTAAAGGAATTTTGGGATTGTTAACGTAGTGAAACATTACCATCACTAGAATCGAAATTTACAATAATTAACATGTTTATTAAGAAAAAAAATCCAGAGTGAATACAACAGTGTCAACACTGATATCAAAATTAAAAACTCACAGGAGCAGAAATAGATGTGACACCAACACAAAAGAAAAAGCATACATCGGAGACAAACCGTAAGTGTTTCGGAAGATAATCATTCCATGTACCTCATGTGGCGCTCATCTTGTTTTAATTTGTCAAATCCAGAAGACTACATCGTCCCGACAACGTCCGACAAGGTCTTCGGTAAATATAATACATCAATATAGGTTGATTTTCTATTAGTCCTTTCCTTTTTGTAAATAACATTGTTGTGACGTTGCTAATTTAAACTTTGTTTTTTAGCTGCGAGATTTTTTCACTTGAATTTCTCGTAAGCACTACACATACACATAAACGGCGACTGCTCTTCATCTTACTGACATTGAGCTTGAATTATTGAGAGAGAAAAAAATAGAGGTCTGATAGCATCACCCGGACGTCGGAAGTCTAACCAATGCCTCCAACTACGCAGGGGTCCGAACGCTGTTAAATAAGGTTCATATAAAAATAATAGATTTATGTGTTAACGAACACCTTTAGAAACCGATAGTATAGAGTGAATAACGAAATTATGATACTTTTAATTGTTTAGATATCTAACCTTATCAAAGGTCGCAACTTTCACGTTCCATGAGGGGAAAGGATCGTCAAGTTCAAATATGTACACATATTACGGTATCAGAGCTACGGAATCAAAAGCTTATCCTTCTCCTATTCGCTTATACGGAATCAAGCTTTGCCTGCTGCATCAGTATTGTATATCATAGTGAACCTTCCCTCGTCAATGATAGTTGAAACGCATTCCTAGTACGATCCCTAGATTACAAGTCAGGAAAAGAGTTGTATAGGTGAACAATAATCTGTTGAAACCTGCAAACCACAAACATATAATTAGATATCATCATGTAATGATTTCATAAAAACTATATACAGTACATATTAACATTAACAACGCGGGTTATACTAGCTCTAAATACGTGTAAACGTACAAAAATGCATTTTAACCTGAAGAAACTTTGCAAGCTACTTTCGTAGTTAGATAGCAAACCTTTTGACATTGCCTAAAAACTCTTGGAATGTAAGCCAACATTCAAAATCAAAACATAACTGCGAAACAAATTTTAGCACTTGAGTAATAAAACACTATCATGGCATGAAGAGTCTTAATTATTTACATGATATCTCTACACGTGTACTCAATAACAAAGCTCTAAATGTGGCGATAGTTTCACGTATAATCAACAGAAAATTCAACAGCCACAGCACCATGCAAATATCACAGCAAAGTCCACCGCCGCATGTCAGTAACAGGATCAGTGAAAAAGTGTTGATCCGACCTTGTCTGAAAAATGTGCTTAGCAAATATAAATGAAAATATCAACAGAGTTTCTCCATGTATCTTCAGCAATTTCCAATGTAGATTAAGCCCTGTTTGATGCCCAGTTTCCTCTATAAAGGCGATTCCAAAGATTGTAAAACAATTATTAAATTATTATACAATATAAGATTGTAAGGTGACTAGTAAATTGTTAATAAAAAATTACAATATTAAAAAAGAAATAGGAAAAAATCTTGCTTGATGTGAGTATATACTGCTCATATTAACTATTATGTAAAGAGTAACTGTATACAAGTGTCTATTAAAGCGAGAATATAGCAAGACTACACGAGGATACCAAAATGTGAGAAACGTGCATATAATTATATACAAATAGTACAAAAAAATATTTATACAATACAAAATAATGAATCCTAAAATTTAAATCAATTATATTTCAACAAAAAGAATGGCTGAATTTCTACATAACGAAGACACATTCGTAATTCAAATGTGATTATCATATATCAGCGTAGTCTTAAATCACATGATTCAATTGGGAAACAATCGCAACATTGCTGTTCACAACTAGCATCTGTGCAATTTCTTAAAATGGCAATAATAACTTGGCTTCTTATAATTATTTTTTTCTAACGTTTTGTTCTGTATGAAAAGAGTTACCTCATAATACCGTTCAAAAGTTTCAGCATTATTTCCATAAGGGTAAATGAATAGGATATTGGATAAGTGTTGGCTAGTATTACCATATTCTGCGTTCATACTAATATTTCATGTCAATACACATCTTCGAACTCCATGGGTTCCACTACAGATCTTCTCTGCACTCCTGAAGTCATGACAAAATTGAAGGCTCTGTATAAGCCACCTTGCAGATGATACAAGTAGACTAGTTTCCTCCTTTGATGTACATCAAAAGAACTGGGTGGCAGCAGAACGGTAAAATTAACCAGCATTGAAGTCGGATGCCACTCCTCTATAACTTTCAAAGGACGGGTATCTGGCTAAAAATAGGTCAGTTTTTGATACCTGAACCCAACCTCAACCATGTGCCTTTTATTTTGTCATGGCGCATTCTATGGGCGCAGAGAAGACGTGCATTGACAGCAGTTCCCTTGGATTTTGAAGCGATCAATACACAATGTATCGGATTTCAATTGGCACTTTTCTCAAGTATAAACACCAGCTACATCACTCAATAATATATGGCAAATAAAAGCTGCAGTAGTTATCAATGATGTTTTAACATGAAATGTTATGACAATTAAACAAAACCCATAAATCCTGCAACTGTTCATCTGCGCATAAAGATGGAACGCTGCCAGCGAAAAGGTAATGATGTTGTAACATAATTACAGTAAGACTTAAGAAAGTTTAAGTATAGTTGGAACTTTGGCAACAAGCTTTCTAGTCGCTTAATTTCAAAATACACTTCGTCGAAGGTTTTGCTGCATATTGAAAATGTCAATTAAATATTTTCATGGAGAGAAACCAGAGATTTTACTGTACTAAACTGAAAACATTCGAAAACGTCTGTTAGTAATTTCAGTTATACCGCATAGATCAAAGGTGAAGTAGCAAGAAGTTTGAATGTCTCCTCATTCACTCCATTCTGTGTGTTGACATGTTTGCTGGTATGACGCCTGTTGACAGGTGCTCTATTACACATCTCTAACACAACTCTATCCTCACAAATGGATACCCAGTAATAAGTGCATACAAATAATCGTGAAACTCTCTACCTTTTAGAATACTTACCAAACACCTTACCGAACCAAACTATATTTCTGCCATTTCTTTTAAAGTTTTCTTCATTATTAATGACAGCTATTGTGTCTACACAGTATGTATAGAAAGAAACCGTATCTAGATGTATGGCATATTTGTGGTAAAACGTATATAACAAGAGCCTGTATTGGGTGAATGTGACTTCATTCACATAGCACTGACTCTATAACCAACCAAACTTTGAGACCATTAACACATGCAAACTTGAAATTCAGGAAAGTTAAACCTGATGCACATACATAAAAACTCATTTGGTAATAAGTTTTCTCTAGTGCAAATGGTATTCATGTTGCTCATAAATGCCATCTCAAAAGTTCAATACCTCCACTCATATTCAATCTGTACATTAGGATAATTAAAGAATAATATCCACAATCCTAATCGTGAAGAAGTCTGTATGGTTGAATAGCTAATACACAGACTTATACAGCAGTGTAGAAATGCTGAACTGTGGAAGGTCAAGAAGTTCCATGCTGAGGAGTTATGCATTGGAGTAGTACTCGAGACTATGACATGGGGTTTACTCCAAATTCACAATCCTATAAATAAAACCTTTAACTTTCCTCATACAGGGATGAAAGAGTATTTTTCTCATATATCCTTCACCAATGAAAAAAAATCAAAAATATCCTGCCCACTTTCGTTGACTTCATTCTTACCTGGGATATTTCTATCTTACATTTACAGGAGGAGAGAAAATGGGGTAAATTAAACAGAAAAGTAAGAAAATATATTTATATATAGACAAATATAAAAGATTTACACAACTCTTTACCTGAAGAGGACCTCAGTACCATAGGAATCTATGGCGACATCCTGTGTGCACATCTGTCATACTCCCCGAGTAGACAGTCAGCAGATACCCATTTATACCTAGTATGATATATAGGTGCACACTGTTGATCCTTACAAGTGTAGTTACTAGTCTACTAAAAGTAAAAGTCTATGGAAGTAAATGCCCATCCACTGATTACACCAGGAAGTATACATATAATAAACTATACAAACATTTATTTGCAGCCTAACGATCGCAAAGAAATCAAGGAATACTTGAATACAAGAACCTTTTCTGTGTTATAATGTATAAATTCCATTGACAATAACAACGCAAGTAGCCTTTTACTAGTGGACAAATGATCGCCTACGATATATTAATATAAGCCTGGTGAAAATGGGTTCATGTTGCATTAACCTGGTCTTTTTCACAAGAAAGATTGAAATGTAAAAATTCTAGACATTATACTAGATAAGATGTGCACTTATGATGTAAAAGCATGTACAGAACAGACAGCTCAATTTCCTTAGGTCCGCTTCAGGTAATTAACTCTACACATAATACTTGTCTTCAATGCACTATCTGGTCACATCACCCGGAATTTGCTGTAACATTACAAGGTCACACACCCATCACACATTCAGTTACATTTCCTTCCATTACACTTCACTAGAATGAAGACTTGTTAGGAAATCACTGTTATTTTTTTTATATCATATTTTCCAAAATTTTAGGAAATCACTTTGACAACTATAAATTTCACTAATCAAAATATTAGTACTTGCTGGCAATTAAGTCCAATATTTAAAAAAATCTGACAAAGGGGGTTAATAGAATTACTTCCAAATACCATTGCTTCTGTAACTTCACTGTCTTCTAATTTTTATCAATCTTTCCTTTGACAAAACATGGTTTATGTGAATCTAAGTACAAGTCACCTTAATGCTGTTGAAAATTTGATTTGAAAAATTTGTTGATTTAAATTCTGACCTACTCTCCGATTCATCAATGATTAGGATATCTTCCTCATCACTACTATCCTCAAAATTTTCATCACTTTCTCCGATGTCAAAGTATGCTTTTTGGTTTCTGTAGTAAGAGTTTGTTGATTCTTGTGAACTGGGTAGCTCAGACTGTGAACTAGACAGCTCCTGTGAGCTAGACAGCTCCTGTGAACTATCTGTATGAGATACATCCATGTCGGACACATTTGACATTGTTCTTTGCTGTGAACTGTCATAGTAATCAGACGTGCTGTCCTCCGATTCTTGCTGACTGTCTCTATTTTTGAATTCTATCACACAACCTTTGATTAAATTGTTTAAATTTTTCCTAGAAAAGTCTACAGGTGAAGTTTGCCCTATTGAATTGTCATCATGAGATTTCTTCTCACTACCTGAAACATGAGATGTGTGACTGGAGTATCCACAAGCACCAAGTTCTTGTTTGACACACGGCCGTCTTTGTGAGGCGGAGAAGGCTGTAGAACAGCTGGACTGACTGTCTGAGTCTGAAGCAGAGATCTGACTACTGTCATACCGGGCCTTTTCACTTGCTGCCTCCGACAACTGGTCTTTATGATACTTCTGGATATAGTAATGTTTAGGATTCTTGGTTCTTTTGTTTTTCAGGAGACTCCAGACGACATGACCGGCACTGTCCTCTGCTCCTCGGGCATCTTGATTATTTTTGACATTGCTGTCTTTTCTGGACGTCTCCCTCCTGCTGTCAGTAGGGTTACATGTGTACTCACCATTGGATCGAATTGTGTGTAATAACTTCTCTTTTTCACTGTTCAGTTTCTGATATTTTGCCTCTAACTGACACTTTTTTAACAGAAGTTCCTCTTCCTCCTGAAATGTGACACAAGTTATTAAATGAAGAATAGTCACCTTTCTATGTGTTAAATTAACATTTAAGGCAAAACGTTATGCCTACTAAAAACATAATTTAAATTTTACCTAAAAAAAACATCTTCTTTATTCCAAAGTATTTTTTTTTTAAATATTGAAAGGAAGTTAACCATACACAATAGTAAATAGATGGTAATGTCAGACATAATCCCTATTTGGACCCACTTTTAACTTTATAGTGAGTAAAGTTGTGATTTTGAGTTATATCAAGCCAAAATATATGTATACAATGTAGTTTTAGAATAAAGATTGATGATGATAATATAAGGGTAAATATATTTTACATTTTTAAAAATCTTTATAATTTGTCAAAGCACTTCACAGAATCCAATAAAAAGTAACAAAAAATATTCAATTAAGGATCAACTGGGGTACTGTAGTAGTAGACAGATACAAGGAAAGTTTCAAAACATGAAGGCCGGCTATTCTATACCTCTTGTAAGGTTTGCAGTTGATGTCTCTTCTTTTGCCGACATTTTTGAGCAGCTCGTCTGTTTTGCTCCTTCCTGTCTTTTTGGCGAGCCAATTCTTCTGGAGTAAGCTACAATTTTTAAAATATGTATATAAGAATGTAATAATTACAAGATGAAGGTAAAACAGTCATGAATTCTTTTGAAACTATGTAGGTGCATGCTGTTAAAATTCCTGGCCTCAAAATTCTACTTTTCTGTAATAGTCTTCCATATTTCTAACTACTCCAGGTTTAATTAATTTACAAATATAGATAGTGTTAATGGTACTCTTTTTCAAAGACATATCTTCCAAATATTTATGGTTCTGATTCAAGTCTTAAAGACTTTAAGACAGATCAGGCAATACAGAGGGGTTTGGTAGTTGTAAAATAAACTTGCTAGACTTCAAATTAAATAAGTAATTATTCTATCATCACTTATTTATATTACACAAGATTAAAAAAAATGGTGTTTTAGAAACAAATTAACATTAACTCACTAAACCTAGAGCTATTTCTTGCGATGATATTAGTTCTAGTTTGGTCTTGAAGGTCTAACTAATTATTTTTCCTTGAAAGGCCAATTTTATATAAAATAAAAAATAAAAATGAATCTTTACTTGCATTTTTGAACTTTTAAAGTAGTTTGAAAGGCAAAGCAAAGTGGACCATTGGACATTGGGCATGCATCACAGAGTTTTTGCGTAGGTACATTACACTTTAATGCTTCAAACTGATAGCCTACTACAGTACTGTACCTTCTCAGGAAAAATATTTGTTTGATATCTTTAACTAACATTTGGATGAAAATATCTAATTTATTAGATTATTATATTATAATCACTTATTTAGTTATTATTAATATATATATATATATCAATTTTACTGCAGTTGCTGTTGCGTCATCATTGCGGTACTATTTTTAGACCTTACGCTTCGTGGAAACACACAATACACATATGACCTACTTCAGTCGGTGAATGTTGTGAACGGGCATGCCCAAATCTGCTACAAATGTGATTTGTTTGACAGTCACGACATGAACAACATTGAAAATACATATTTCATTAAGAAATCGACAATACTATCGTATAATAACAAATTCTAACACTGCAAATAATCTATTTTACGTGCATATTGCATTGTTAGGAAGCAATTTCAGTATGTCTAAATATAGAACCACTCACGGCTGCCATATGCAATATATTACCTCCCCTTGTCATGGTTACCTCAATAAAACTGGTTGTATTGCCCATACATTATGTATTCCGTGTTGTATTTTACCTTAAGATCGTCATCAGACTGGCGTTTTTCAAAATCTATGGTTATGGCATCTTTTCCCTCCGCCAAACGTCTCGATTGGATCAGTGTCTTCAATGTCTGTTTGACGCGTTGTGGATCGTCGGGTTTGTTGCGCGGTTGTTGTTTGCACAAGTTCAGCGGTTTGCTGTCCGTTTCACTTTGCACCATTATCGGAATGCTGTTATTGTTGATCAAACTTACGCAAACAATAGCTGCCATATTTTTTGCATATACAGAATTTACAATTAAAAGCAAAATTTCAAACTGAAACTTCCAGGGTTCTAGCACACTTCCGTGACAAACGTCCAAGCGGTGTTACCGGAAATTGCTCGTCGGGTATTTTTAGTCCTTGTTAGAGCACTTGTTAAACTTACTTCGGAGTGTCACGGTGAATTTAAAACAGCTTAATTCTTTTAACATTAACACGAGCATGTGTTGATTATATAAAACCGTGCAAAACACTCAATTTTAAAGACTATCAATGTGTATCCGGTTTGACTGAGAAGCCTACTGAGTGAACCTGGGGATAACAAAGGGAGTGTATCTATTTAGGTCACAAAGAGTTGTATACTGTGATCTGCTTTAGTGTCATTACTTGTATTTTGATATATATCTGTTTTACTTCTGTCATGTCGAAAATAAACATCTGAATGCAGCAGGTGCATTATATACAATTTTTTGTTAATTACCTCAAAATCTGAAATTGCTCATATGCTTAATTTAGAATCAGGATTTACACGCCCACATCATCAGGGATTTTGTCCCTGCCCACGTGTGCCGGAAATTGTGTAATCCTTTCCTTTCAACATTTTTTTCCTGATTTCAGTATAATTGTATCTGTATGCCATAACATGAAATAAATATAAAAAGTCGTCGAGGTCTTAACTAGCCTGCCCTTTGATGATTAAGCCTTGTTTGGATGCACGTGACAAACACAATGTTGTCAATTATTCCGCCACCACATGATGGACCTAGTGTTATATTCAACTCCATTCAATATTCCATTGCTCATTTTAGTTACATACCAAATTGAAGTAAAATAACAAAACAATAAAAATATTAAGAAGCTTTAAAAAAAATATTTTTAATTTTTATTAGTAATAGGCCTAGATATGTATTTTTCTAGAGAATATTTTTTCTTAATATCCAAGCATAAGAACAATTTATTTTTACGCCTTATTTTTATCCGTCATCGATTTTTGTTTCAAGTAAACCATACTTCCATATTCATTGAAAATACTACTTTCATTTCATTTTTTTTTTATTGCAGATGAGATTCTGACATCTATTTTGTCATGCAACCCATTTAAAGAGTTGATGTGATATATAATTCTACGTGCTAATCCGATATTCAAACAGTCAATTTGCTAAGGAAATTTACTTTAAATATCGTATTAAACAATGTTTACCCAAAATCTCTTTTAAGATCTGTATATTTAAAATACACCAACTAATATTAAATGTTATGACTGGTTTATTTGCATCCCAATATTGTAAAATTTTATATACTAAAGGATAAAACACGTTCTGATTATCTAAATATTTACCAGTTTAATTTACAAAGCATAAATTGTTTTACTCTTTACCCATTTTATGTGAACTATTCTCCAATTTAATATCGTTAAATGAAGACTGACTACAGGGCGGTAAACTAGTTAAACAGAACACAGGAGTAAGGGAAACACCCCTTTATAAAACAATTGTTAAGTCAGGAAAACAACCCTGATCAAAATCATTTTTGTTTAAACTATATCAACTTCTATATGGCTGGAGAGGACAAATAATTCCCGCTTTACTCCGAAACGCGGGACCGTTTAATGAATCGCATATATCAAAGAAAAACACTGTATTACTATACCATCACTCATGAAAAGCAATCTCTCGTACCTCGCCTTATTGTTTAGGATATTCCTGTCTAGAATCGGGACCTTTTCCCCATGCCACGAATGATGCAGGGAATGCAGCATGGCCTGTCAATAGCCCAACGCATGCGCAGAAATCACATTTTATACCGATAGCCTACTGCTATACAGAAAATCACAGTCACATTAGTTAGAACCGCGCAAAATTCCTCAACATTATCTGCTATACGACCCTCGAATCTGCCATGTACGAGTCATCGATCAAAAGTATTTTCCCATCCATTTTATACTTCATGAGTATGTTTCATGCATTCCTACTGATTTTATACTGATTTTATACTGATTTTATACTGATTTTTTCCCTGAAGTGATTTGTGGTGCCATTTATAGGATATTTTACATCATGAAAGAGAATTTTCTAAATTTTCATCTGACAATATTGAAATGTTTTCCCGTTACATAGTTTTCAATATACATGTATGGTGTATAAGTAAGATTGTTTTTTGCTGCAATATTTTCTAAATCTTCTTTACTTAATCAAATTATTCCAGAAAAAGATATTTCTGAGGTATATTTGCAATAGCTTAAAACTAATAAATGGAGAAAAAGAAAATTGTATGAAAACTCACAAAATTCTCTTCAAGTGTATTCAATTTTGCTTTGATAGCATTGTAATTCACTTCAGAACAATAACATGAAAAATGTAAAAACAAATACGTGAAATATATAAGTAAGAAAGGTGTGTTAGGATACACTTTTGGTCCGTGACCGTTATATATTACGGACAGATGAACACGTCCACACCCTGTTATCAATAAGACAGGTTGAGATTTCACTGTGTATGCAGAGTAATCAACGTAGATAAGTATATATCAATCATCACTTCAACAATTCTATCTTAAATTTTGTAAACAGGCATTGGAATTGCGACACCGAATCAGGAGTTAAGTGATAGTTGCCTGGGACTGTACTCTAGCTCACACAAATGACATTATAGATGCGCTAGCAATGTATTATCTAACCAGATTTATAGACACTGAAAATGGAAACGGTTTAAAGAATCCCCGGCACTTAATACAACTTTAGACGAGAAAGGTACGTATTCGACGGTTAGCAAGATTTAGGTTGTGGTAAAGAACAATGGGCTACCTGACACAATGGATAACATAATTCTCACCCGTTGCTATCAAATGCAACAAAATCAAAATTTGCATATTATAAATGAATATGATTTCTATCCAGAAAACTATAAAGGGTGGCTGAACGCATTTTGTTTTTTATTTATAGTTATTGAGAACAATACACTTCAGACAAATATTTGTCAACCTTAAGTCAACAAACATTGAAATAGCAACTTGGGGAATACAACCACTGCTTCTTTAGGTATTGTTATACTACAAAACTGACTAACTCTGGTGAACGATTTAGAAACAGAGAAATTCGTAAACATTGTGTCTTCAGATTAACTTGTATTTGGTACTGACGTACTTATAAACGGTGATATGCACACTAAAACTGAGGGGAGTCCACTTGACCACTGCTTTGTTCTAAATCCAAACTTCTTCTTTTGTATGTCGTATGTATTACTAAATGCATTAAAGTTACCGTATATTTAAAAGCTCAGTATCTGATGAGCATTCATGTACAGCCTGAAGTAGTACCTCCGATTGCCTCCCTTGAAATAAACCAAACGATCTTAGTATAGTTATAGTGAGACCCAGTTATATATTTGTATATGATCTGCTAATAATATTTTTTGTCAGTGATGAATTTTAAAATTATTTTCTCATAAAGAACGAGAGAAGGTAAATGATTGTTGTAGCTGGCATTTCTTTATCTCCAGCTTGTAGTATTCAGACAACCTGACCAATATTTACAACCCACGGACAATAATTCCTTGACTGTGCTAATTCTTCAACTGTTGTCATTAGTGAAACGTTGAGTGAAAGCACTCCTGATTTTGATAAAACTGGTCGGTAATCGTCTTTTCTGTAGCCAAACACTTTCTATCCCGTGATTTCCTTCCGACAAAAAGACACCATCTGGCCAGGGAAAAACTTTGACTAATTCAGATGTTGATGCTAAAACAGATTTTGTTCAAAACTGGTACAACAAGCTCAAACTGCAATAAAACCTTTTATTTGTCTCTGAATTGATACAGATTCATAAAGTAACGATTGTTTTGAATTCATAATAAAGTAAATATCTGAGTAAATCATAATATTACATAAATTCTTTCTGATACAAAACAAATTATTTTGCGCAAACTATTCATGTATATCTTTATAGTCATCCAAAATAATGTACAATTCTTATAATACAAAATAAAGTACAACTATAAAACACAAATTGATGAGACCAATATTTTCTTGAAGAAAGTACATAACAAATGACATTCTAAATCACAATGATGGTGGGATCTGGCAAAAATATAATCATTCTATGATGAAAGCTGCATCACTTTATTTCGAGGTCTCTAAAAGAGGTCACCCAGTTCACCTGCACCACCAACATTAAAAACTGGCCAAAGTCTACATTTCATAAGTAAATTTGGTGGTAGAACGTCGCCGTAAAGACTGCGGTTTTTGTATCATCCATAACATGTCAGACATGCTGAAATCGTTAACATGAGATAAATGTAACGTGAGTATATGGTTTTATCGATAACGTTTGCGCGAGTTAGTGTGTGCATATACATGTACGACTTTCAAAACATAAGATAAACTGAAATATTGACGTCAAGTGCACTCTACGGTGACCTATGGTACATAACTAGTACACCATGTTCCCTTTACAGCGGTGATGCCGGTGAACTGCAATTCCCGTAACAACAATAACATTAACAGTTCATTGAGATCATTCAAAGTCTTAACAACGCACAGTGTAAAACCAATTCTTAATCCTGTATAGGGTCACATGATTGTAGACCCGAGCCCCACACAAGTCGTAAAACTACGTCACTATCCGGTAGGTTTGAACACAACCAAAATACCAATTATTGCAGATCGTAAAACGTACGTGTAATAAATTGGAATTTCACGCGACTACAGAACACAGTCTAAAACGTACCGTCCGAGAGTCTTGTCACCTGGACTATCAATCGAATGCTGGACTTTGTGACGACATGACCCTCGGTTACCCGCACTAGCGAACACCTGTCTCTGTGAAATGTCATTCTGTATCAACGCTTGTTTGTACAGATCATTTTCCATATCAAAGTATAATACAAATATAACATGTCTTTATCATATCAAAACATAATGAAATTATAACATGTCTCCATCATATTAAAACATAATGAAATTAAAACATGTCTCCATCATATTAAAACATAATGAAAATATATGACTCCATCAGTGGTCGCCAAGGAGGGTACACCAACTATAAAAATGTAGCACGTGCAAACTTCGCTACACGAAGCTTTTCACGTGATGTATTCTCACCGGGTGCTTACGTTCGAGTGGCCAATGCTCTAGCCACAAAGAGTGGAAACGGCAACATACCGGACATTTCGAAGAGCTTCGATGATTGGCTGGAACGAAGGTCACCAAAATCTCAACTCATACCCTGAGTGTAGATCATGCTCAAAAAACGAAGCTGATGAAGTGGAGAACGATGCATAGTTTCAATAAAACTGACTTATCTGATGACGTGGAGAAAGACGAACAATTATTTGGCGTATTTACATGACTGGACAAGTAACGTTGGATTAAAGTGAATAAACGTATTGACAAAGGCACGACCTATAGGCCAGGTGGTTCTAGGTTGTTGAGATCATCAGAATTGAGGACCGGAATCTCCAGTGGGAGCTCACTGTTCAGCAGTTCGGATATATTGAAAAAGTTTTCAGCCCAACCGAACTCATGTGAGGTGTCGTCAGCTGGTGGCGTGATTGGCAAAGACATGGGCTCTTCGTATGAAGGAAAGGTGTTCGAAGAATACTGAGGATATCCACTGGTCTGTCCGGGTGTCTGACTTATGAAGGAGGTACATGAAGCTGACGTCATGGTGCACGGCTTATTGTTGCTTTGAACATCGAATGTAAAAATGTCTCCTCCGTATAAACTCGGAGATGTTGCACTTCCGGCATTTGGATCGTGAAAGACAGGAGGGAGTTGCGCAGACAGTGGCGGTGTGTACGAGGTGTCAGGAAGAGGAAGTAATGCACACACGCGGGAACGTGAGTGTCCCTCTAGAACCTTCTCCAGCATGTCTCTCTGAGACATGAGCGATTTTATCTGATCTTTAAGGGTGTCATGCTTATTTTGCTCCTTAAAGAAGGTCTGAAATAAAAATATCATGTTTTTAGAATACTCTTCCACTCTTGAAAACGCGTATTCTCTGCACCCTTTGATTTGGTAATAGGAAAATAGAAGTCCTTGTTCACGCAACCTTGCAGGCGATACTTCTCGACTCGTCATGCATATGCGTGATCTTATAGTAATGTTTTGATTAAAAGATCGAACGGAAGCGTAACAATACAATTTACGGATTTTAATGTCAGATTACCTTTGAGTAACTTTAAACCACAGATAACCACTATCTGCATTGCGATTGGTCGGGTTTTAATTTAACAAATTAAAATTTTTGACCAAGATCCTTCGATTTCACCATGACATATTTCAAGGAAACGGAAGAATATGTGATTTCGAGACAAAAACTATTAGCTTCGAAGATGTCATGTGGCATTTATGTATATATTGAATCATGAAGATATATGGAGCAGTATCAGCAAATGTTTACCGAATCTTTTAATCTCTTAAATCTGTAGAGAGAGTAAAGAAGCCCTAGCACCAGTAAGGCAGACTTTGCAGAAAGATACTCACCGTGATAAGACTTTCCTCGACGCCCTTCTTCTTGTGACGACATTTCGTGGCAGCTCGTCTGTTCTGTTCCCGGCGACGGGATTTCCTTTGTAGCTCCGCTGCTGTGAGATCCTGGCAGGAGAACAATGAACATACCGCATGATTAGCCAAACACAACACCAAGAGCTGGATATGTATATCATCATGTGCAATAGTTTTCCGGAGACAGTAACCGCGTCTTACTTCTGCTTAAATCATTTTAGAAAACAATTTCATCAGGAAAGAAGAAAGTAAGACACACATGTTATTGCACTTATACAACGTAGTAATAAATACAGTAGGCCAACAAGTAATTTAACTACGTAATGCACAGCTGTTTCGACTTTCTAAGACTCATCGTTGCTGCTTAGTGCCAAATGGTCTAAGCTACTGTTAAAACAGAAGGGGAGATGCGTAAAACCCTGATTTAAATTCACATTAAAAAAAGGAAAAGGAGTACGGAGTATGCAGTTGCATCATTCAAATTAATAATTAGTAACACATATTTATTCCAGTAAAACTAATCAACAGAACAGCAATTGCATTTGTTTGCTCTTTTGCTGTAACCGAATTACTATTGCAAAACGTTTGATGTCTTTAAATTTCATAACTTATAATCAATTTATACCAACATTTCAACAGCATGGTTACCTGTTTAACTTTAGGTTTAGGTGGATCCTGCAAGACAATATCGGCTTGTCCTTGGGCAAATCGACGATTCAGTATTGTGTATTTGAGCTCTTTCTTTATCAGAGGAAGGAGTTTACCAGCAGCGAGGGCGTCTGAGGCAGCCTGTTGGAAGTGGTCGTCCCCAGGTTCCACTGGTATATCTGGACCAATGGTGGTTGACGAGGAAGCTTTTGAACAGCTCCTCTTAATAGGAGACAGAGGTTCTTGTTTTATCCACGTAGAGCAGTCCATATCGGTGTGGTTCTGAAATAGAACAAAAATTGTTTTCTAGGACCCAACAAAGTAATTGAGAATTTATTACAGCTGATAAACAGTTCAAAAGTAAATAATAAAATAAATAAATAAACAAATAAAAAGATCAATAAATAGATAAACAACATCAAAGCTATGGATTTAGGTAATATTAAGTTAAAGTTTTTAGCTGGTGTATCATTGAAATAAAAAAAAACAAAAAATGAACCAAGCGGAGATAGCATGACGAAACATTAACATGCATGATGAAAGTTACTACCTAAAGCTAAGGTAAAGATGTATTGAAAACGGTAGGTGTCTTTCCTCTGCAATACATTACTAAATAATTAACACTGATATTAAGTCTTTTGTTTCGCAATGTGTCACATAAATTCATTAAATATGACGCAAACTGAAACATCTGACGTTAATGTGGTCACATTCTGTCTTACCATTACGTGTTATAAGTCAGGTGACCTCTATATCGTTGTTAGGTTGACTTCAATATATCATAATAAAGTTACTAGTCTGTAAAAATGTAATTATTGTATAACATGTCAAACATATGCGAAAAATTTAATCACGTTATGAAATGCGAATCATGAAAAATTACGTCGTTTAAACCTAACAAAATCGTCAGAAATGTCATTTTCATTCACAAATTTAATCAAATAAGTTCATCGTGAAGGACTAGAAAATGGAAAAGAGAATTTACGAAATTATTGATCGGATTTTGATACTACAATACTGAGTCACAACTTTGTGGTGAGAAACATTGGTTGAGAGAAAGGACCACTGTTGTGAGAACCTCCTTGCATTAAATGACTTTTATATGTGGAATCATATGATGGGAAAATATTAGCGAAATAAATATATGTTACCAGTTACCTAGTTAATGCAAAATATTTTACCGTAACGTTTATAAATCACTTTCGATTTCTATCCACAAATACTAGTAACCAATTAAACTTGGAAAAATGTCTTTCAGGTTTTATTAAAATAAGAACTAAAGCGATTGCCATTTTTTAAAACAAATGTAACATTGGAGATATCATAGTCCCACAAAATGATCCGATGTCCTCTGTGAAGTCGTCGTAAGTGATTTATACAACCGCAGCGACAAAACAACAAGCGTTCACCATATAGGTAAAACGATAGTAAAACACTGTGAGTCTATACATTTAACAACGTGTAATCAGGAAGAGGAAATCTATTTAGCTAAAAATAAATCCTTGTACATGCCTTTATCATTGGTCTTAATATAATATGTATAATTATAACCTGTACGTAACGGTATACCAGTGGGGACATGTATTGATAAGATAGGTAAAATTCTAGGAATAAGGTATGCAACGCAAATTTACTACATATGAACTGTCTTCATTTAAAACAAAAGATGTTTTTGAAAAGTCATATCTAATAGTTTAAAATCACTACTCTTCAGGGCAATATTGAAATAAAACGACAGATTGTTATGAATAGGATGAGTGGTTTTAGTTTTATCGAAATGCTCCTTGATTTATACCTGTGTCACTAAATATGCAATCCATTTCACAAAATGATAGATTTCCAAAGCTGAACAAGGGACATCCTACCTGAGGTACATTGTCCTATGGCTTTAAATTCACAGTGGGGGAGTCTAGTCATATTACAAATCGTATGAGTAACTCTAAAGTAAACATCTACACACTGACTAATTGACCACAGCCAGTGACAACGCCCAATCCAACAGTACAGACACCAGTCAGACGTCCGCCTGTAAATCTGTGAACAGTAGTCGTCTGGTTTCACGCCATCCTTGCTAGCACACGTGTGTGTAAAGTACTTGGCATAGGCAGTGAATCATAGACATCCGACAAGTTTTTATATACACGTACAGAATAAGTAATCTTAAAAGCACATGCAACAATATAGTTGCTACCCTCACACATGTATATTAATAAAATGAACATCTCAAGTAAAATCACTGAAAGTAGGAAAAGGTTGTAATTAAAAATCAAGGTTAACTTTTTACCTGTCTCATCACCGTTGCAGTAAGTATGACAGCACGACAGAAGTATCACTACTGAGTATACTACGTGGGTTTCATAATTTACGTCTAGCCAATCACCGCAGAGACGTGTGCGCGTGAGCGATGCAGGTCATGTTGTGATTGGTTACCAAGTTTTACTACAGCTCATGACCTGCTAGATAACCTCTACGTTCGTTCTACGTTGTAGTAATTCGAAATATAAAGCACAAAGCTCAAATGCAATATTGTTCTTATGTAGTAGCACCGTAAAGCGTAAGAGTAATTACATGTACTTCCCATATTCCTGGTCTGTTTCTCTGAAATGTATTTTCATGACCAAGTATACCTATATCTATTACTTACCTGTATGCAATCACCTGATAGGCGTTGCACCAGCGCTATAAATAGCACACTGTCCCAAAGGTCTAGGGTTTTCCATAACCAAGGTACACAGTGAACACAATATAAACATGGCCTGGTGTAACACTATACACTTACATTTTATGTTCTGCCGATGATTCGACGACTCGGTGATTACTGTCAGAACTGATTTCGTGATCCAGATTTCAAAGTTTATATGTATATTCACAAGTTGCACGAGCCAGTGACCCCGTGGGCTTTATTCAAATGAGCTTCCATACAGCACGTAAACAGAGCGAGACGACCAATACACGCGGGCAATAGGAAGTAACGCCTCGTGAATAATTAGCATACACTTAATATATACACACTGGCTTTGTATGGTTACTGGGTCAAAAATAGAAACGGCACGATACAGTCACCTAAATCACATTAAATGTCATAATACACCCCTGCAATACACAAAACGCCTTGCTACCAGTCTGGAGGTGTTGCTTTGTGAGGACAATAAGATCGCCCCCATTCTTCCCCGCTGTGTATACACTCATTATATCGCTTTGTGTCCTTTATCTGGGATTTAACGTCACCTCATTATGTTACAATATGACACAAACATTGATGTCTATATATTTTCCTTCTGGCAATAATAAGTATATGCGTCATTTGAATAGGTTAACGAACGTTAAATAATAGATCATTTTAAAATTAATCTCTAATTCCTTTGTTGTATGGCCTATATCTGTACATCGCGAGTCCTATCACTGCAATATCATACACAACAGATTGTAAAGTAGCACCACGATATTAAATCGAGGCTAACATGGGAAGCTCTCAGCAAAGTCATTACGTTTTGTTTGAGTTGTTGCACGCATTACTATCTATATTATTTTCGTTTTTAAACAATTCAAACATTTAATTTCAGAACAAAAATCAAAGAGCTAAAAAATTTAATATTTGTATTATTAACCCCAATTATCCTCGTAAAATGACGCCGCCTCATAATACTGCACTTACACCGTACTTAATCTGTGACCTACCTTCCGTCTAGATAAGAATACTTATTACTTTTGACATGCATTGTGACTCCACAGTCATTATTACAAGTTATTATAATAGCCACGCCGTCTATACGAAGTTTTGGGTCTAGGTACTCTCTGATTCCTGGCGCTGCCCAGACCCATTTTTCTTGCTTGTCACAGTACAGGTGTCCGTGTAGCGTAGATACACATCTAGAGCGATCACCATCCACCTTCACGACAAACCCCGCCATCTCTAATGATTAACGATTGCATCAAATTCATATCTTTTAATCTTTGTGCATCATGATGTCTAGCTTTAATGAATTTCACGGAGAAATCTCAAACGGTTCAAAGAAGACAGTTTTTAGATTTTAGACAAAAAGTTCCCAAAGGAAATTTTTAAAGTAAAACATCAACCTAAAAGAGATGTGAACCTAAAACACATATCCTTACACAAATGTTATAACCCCGTCGTCTAACCAATAACACAGCTGTTTAGGTTCACAATATGGAACCTTTGTAGGTAACATACGTGTGTACTATATATAAAGTTATAAACACAACGTTAGCTTATTAAACTGCGCAGTTAAATCAATCTAGTCTTACCAGTGCTAGTCTATCCATCACGGTGACAGGTGACAGTACGTCACATCATATATCGCCTCTGTCGTCTAACACATCATCGATGTCTTGATAGGTCTACCACAGTTAAATGGTTACTATCACTAATTAGAAGGCAGTTGTCGAATCTCAAAAACTGATAATAACAGTTATACCTGATTTACCGATATAGATATCTAGCGACACCTGTTAAAACTAGGATGTTTATTCTATTCTACATATTACAATATTCAATGTATCTCAAAAAGTAAACATCGTCTGTACAGGAAATAAAAGTGGTCAGTGTCTATAAAAATCAGAGATGAACCACAATAAGTATCTTATTCAATAAAAGTTAAAAATATCTATGGCCTCATTTCACCGTTTTTTTCAAGTTATAAGGGAAATACACAAAGACAAGACCTGTTTTGTTATCGCATGAAATGACATCTATAGGACCCCCTTCTGACTGCTTGGAGGACTTCTGAATAAATTAGAATCGCCCCGCTGCCCTCTCTACCTTCTCTCCCTTTCGGCAGTGTCTCACTAGCTACCATAATATCATGACCTTAGGTTTTGCAGGGGGGAAATACATAAAAAATAAACAAAAAAAGATATCGAATTAAAAAAAAAACGAAAAAAGGGAAACACTACATCAAAAAGACATTGAAAACCGTCATTGAAAACCTGAAATAACAAAACAAATTAATAAATAGAAATAACATGAATTCAACACTCTTAACGCACAATATGTGACACCGGTCATGATAGCGCCAGTCAAATACTGTACAGGAAAGGTTGAAAGTTTGTCAGAGTTATATAGGCAGATTACAGGAAAGTTTGTCAAGGTTATATGGGCATGGGCAACTTACAGAACATTTTGTCAGGGTTATATGGGCACCTACAGGGAAGTTTGAACAGGGCTATATGGGCAACTTACACGACAGTTTGATCAGGGCTATATGGGCAACTTACAGGGAAGTTTGATCAGGGCTATCTGGACGACAACTTACAGGACAGTTTGATCAGGGTCATATGGGGAACTTACAGGACAGTTTGATCAAGGTTATATGGACGACAACTTACAGGACAGTTTGATCAGGGTACAGTTTGATCAGGGCTATATGGACGACAACTTACAGGACAGTTTGATCAGGGTTATATGGGGAACTTACAGGACAGTTTGATCAGGGCTATATGGGCAACTCACAGAGAAGTTTGTCATGGTTATGTGGGAAGATTCAGGGGTTAGCTGACTTACCAATTACCAATACAACTTATTAATATTTCGATTTGAACTGTATGAAAATATTCTTTGTGTTGATATATGACAAAAATTTTCATTGGAAGGCACGCTCTTGTATGAAAAGCAGATTTTTAATTTAGTGAGAATTGAATATTGGGCAATATAAAAATATCTAGACTTTTGAAACATTTTCACCTTAACCATTCCTCATAGAAATACAGCACATTTTCTCATGATATTGGTCATTATATTATTATGATATGAAGCATGCGCCTTTTCTCATAATATTTCTTCTGATGTTATGATTTATGAATCAACCATTTTACATAGATCCTAATATTGGTAATGAAGGATTTTTACTATTATATATTAGCTGTCTGTTCGAGGTGATTGTCAAAATCGATATACATATGTAAAGATTTATATGCAAAGAATTAATTAAGATTACAGGCAATGTATTAAATCGTTACAAGGCGTTATAAGACGTATACAGTCATTATTTGGAATTGTCGTATATTCCGGACCATAAGGTATAGTGACAGAAAATCAATCTGTGAGTAGTATTCATTCACCGACAACAAAATACTGAGAATGTGAATTAAGTTTAAAATTGAATAACATGTATCCATTATTTTGTGTTCTGACAAATGCCAAAACACTTCTTACTTATATTATTTTGGATTAGTTGCTTTTTGTCCTAACTAAAGATACGTTCTTTAAAGGACAGCTTTAACATAAGGTATGTAATACAGAGATATTTAAATATAAACCAATATATATTTCAGCACTCTTTGTTTTCTCTTCTTTATTTTGCCCCCTGCTGTACGTAGTTCTTAATTAAATAAGTAATCGCAAACAACAACAAAACAAATCAGCGGCCTTTTTAAACACCATTTTGTACACATAATAGTAAATATTTCGTTCATTTGAGACCAAACAGTGTAAAACAATTTTCTAGGTTCCATTGTCCGTTGCCATATATGTTCCATCGATTGATACGTTGCACACAATGTAAATTAGAACAATGCTTAAGATCTTCAGATCAATCTGAAACACTCTATTCTCCAAAAGTTCTTCTAACCAATTATTTGACTTTTCGACCCTTGACACTACCATAGCTCATACCAAACTGAAAGAACGCCATCGTTCTCTCATGAAAAGACCGTTCGTTTCCAAGAAAGTCGAACGCAGGTATAAATGTATGGTTGTTAATTCTCTGGAGCACATTTTGTGAAAAGCGCAACAAATGCAAAAATGAAATATACCGAGGACAACATTGTGAGAATGATTGAGTTCCTGATAAACAATAGCATTGCTGAGTTTGATGGCAGGTATGTCCATCAGAATGTAGACATTTGTCTGGAAATAAACTGTGTCCCTCTTCTGACTTTTTAAGTTTTCATACGAAGCTGAATGTTATGACCAACCTATCAGGACTGTTTACAAAAACCTTCAAGTCCTTCAACTTCACATTCAGGTATATCGTCGATGTGATGCATATAAATAACAATAAGTAAGTACATGCCATCCTAAGCCTGAGATCAAGGACACCACAGACTGTTCTACGTCAGCAGCTTTCCTCGATATTTCTTTACAGCATGACCAACACTACGAAGTTGTACGATAAACGGGACGATTTCGACTTTCTGATCGTGAACATTCCTTTTCGTGATATTACTATCATTGTTGGTCCTAAATACGGTGTTTACAAGTCGCAGTTAATTCGATATTTCGGAGCTTGCGTGATAGATGTCGACCTCTGACGGACAAACTTGCAACACAGAGTTTCCAAAGATGCCGTTTAATGACGACAGAGAGTACGTCATATGGTCGCTATAGTGATCTCCTAGGGAACTATGCGATTCCTTTGTGTGATATGAAGGTCGATGTTTTTGATCATTCTCATTAGTGCGCCTTTTGGTTTGTTGTATTGTCACTACCCGAGGTCTCGATGTGAGGATGGTGACATGACTAAAGGACAACAGCTACATATCATATACTTTAACAAACTAACACAGATTTGTACGGAAAACAGAAAATAGCTTGCTTATCTATAGCCTTTCTGGTTCCAGCTAATTTTAGTATTTTAAGTACACTTATCATATCTTTGTTCTGATTCGTTTTTTTAATCATAAATGTGAATTTGCGCTTAAGATAAACAGCAGTAATGTATGAT